CCTGTACGCTCTTCAGCTAAGAAAGGATCCTCTGACCCATCATCTCTTTCAAAAAACTTTAACAGATAAAAGTATTGGATACATTTTCATTTTTTAAACACATGTTTCACAATCCATTCCTCAGAACAAGAGGAAAATAATTTTATCACTGAGAAACATGGCAATTCAATCATTGCCCAGCCTAGACAGGTGTAACATCTCACTCCGTGGTCTGTAATGCCCACAATAAATAATTTGCTTTCATAGACAGGAGAAGTGATTAATTCATAATTTATGCAATGCTAAAGATACAACTGAATTTGTCTACTGAAGCAGATAAATATAATGAGAATTTCAAAAAGCTGTTTACCACGAAGCCATACCTTCATATTTCAAACAATGATTTAATTATAATATCGCCCCTGATAACTAAGATCACAGCCCTCTGTACCATTAATTTTCAAAGGAACCCAGCAGCACAAGCATGACTGAGGCAAACAAACAAACAAACAAACAAACAAACACTAAATCCAAACAAACAAAAACCCCGTACCTCAAAAACATGTTGGAATACATGGAAAGTGACAGATCGAAGAAGGTGAGAAACTGCAGAGAAACCATTGGTATTGAAGCATAGAATTTCACCATTATTGTCACTCATTTGATATTTTTCCTGACATAGTACAAGTAGATAAATGCTTAATTTAGTTTGAAAGTATCTGAATTTTAGAAATACAGTCTAAGGAAGGCGTGGTGGGGTGGAGAGCAAAGGGGGGTGGGGACGGAAAGCGCTTTGCCTGGCGGGGGGGTGGGGGAGGGCGCGGCGCATGGTGCGCGGGGCAGAGGGCCTTCTGCTGAGCTGCGCACTTGAAACCTGCGTGGTTTGGCAAAACAACGTCACCCCAGAAACTCAATTAAAAAATACAGATGGACATGATAGCGGTTTCATAATCTAAAATTACAAGTCCAGATACATTAATTATCTTTCAAAAGAATGAGGTTGAAGAAGGAAAACAGGTCAAGTGTGCTGCCTGCAGGCATGAGACAACTGTGAACGCTCTCAGGCTGGGACCGAGAGAGACAGGGAGGCGCTGCTGTCCCCACGCCCAGAGTGAGGTGACAAGCCTCCTCAAACTGGGCCAGGTCACCTCAAGTACCTGACAGGCCTCTCATGACCTTTTTTCTTGTTGTTGCAATGTTCTCCTTGTTCCTGAATAATTCTTGTGCCTTCCTAGTAATAAATGTCACCTCTTGGCCTTCAGGAACATCTCGAAATAATATAGAATTTGACTTATTTTTCAAATTGTGAAACGTTTACCACTGCGATGAGCCCAAACTGCACAACCTGGTAGCAGAGAGGACATTTCACAGATGGATGCAGAAATCCCGTCTCACAGTGGCCGTCAATAGGGATAAAAATACCCAGAGGACTTTTTCACGGTTCTCCCCTCCTTTCTTTAGCGCGCCCCGGGGTGGAGGGAGTGCATGCTGGCGCTTGGAGGTGACAAAACTCTGAACCCAGGGACAAATGTCATGGTCTCCTGGGATGTTCTTGGCCTATTTGCATATTTTTTTTCAGCTATGCTAAAAGTTATAGTCCCCAAAGGAATAAGGCTTTAACTACATTTCAAAAACTGAATTGCTGGTCTGAACAAAGATGGGAGGGACAAGATAGAGACCAGGGTTTAAAAATACAACCTTAATCTTATGACAAAATTTTCTCTTATTTTGGCACAGATGGAAAATATTCCTGTTTCCAGGAAAAGCACCACACACAGCGTTCACACTGTGGATGTCTGGACTGCAGCACTGCCATGGACCAGCCAAGGGCACGTGGTGTTATTCCCCGAAACGGGCTCAGAAACACTGTGTCCAGCACAAGGATGTTCTGACCTTTTCCTGAAAAGTGAGGGATAATGTCCATAGCGATTTTGAGAGCACACTTTCTAGAAACTTCTGCCATGGATGGAAGAGGCTTTGATTTTTAAACTGTGCCCAGTGGAGCCCTAGGGTTGTGCTCGTGAACCACAAAGAGGGCAAGGGCAAGGTCGAGGCAGAGGAAAGAGACAAGCTGGGCCTCTCTGCACCGCCCCCCACTCCTTAACCAGAGCTGCCGTTCTTTCATCTCTCTCTCTATCAATATCTGTAGATTAGGTATAAATTATGATGCAGGCAATATTTTGTTTGGAAAATGGGAAGGGGGAGAGAGGGAGGGAAAGAGAGAGAGAGAGGTTTGAGAGCCACTCTCACAGTTTAAAATGCACTCTCTTACATGGTAAGTCCACTATTATGTTCTACATAAAAAAAAAATTCCAATTGCACTTAAAAAGATTACACAATCAGTACGTCTCAATTAAAACAGCCAAGGAAAGAGCCACAGTGGATGAATTGTACACTGTGACAGCTGCATTTAAAGCCAGGGGACACACCGGCAGGGCCTGTGGTCTGACGGGTGTGTGGCACTGCCTCCCTAGGGTGGCCTCCACGGCAGTCACCACCATCCTACCTGGCGCTGAGCCCAGATGGGCTCAAAGCATGGAAGCTCCGACTCACGAAGGCACAGTGTCATCCTGGCTCTAGAGACACTATATGATCAGGGTTGGAAAGAGAATTTTTCAGAGAAATGGCTGTCAGTTGCAAAGGCCTCCTTCCTGACACTGTGCCTATCCCACCCCCCCCGCCCCCCCGCATCGAAAAAGACCTCTGCTTTCCTGTATCTGGTAAAGCAATCTTCTGAGGCTCATTGCAAAAGCGACCCCAAGGAATGTGTTCAGACCAGGAATCTGTTTGGGCCGTGGCCCGCAGCTCCTTATTGGCTTGTGCATACTAACTGACATCTAGTAACCACCCAGTGTGAATAAATGAATGGAACTATGGTGTCAGGGATGGATTAGGAAACCTGTCCTCCTTTGAGACATGCTGGCTGAGTAAGAGAACTGGAACCTTTCTGGGTCTTAGATTTTTCAATAAAACTTAGAGACTATGGCTTATCACAAACTAAAGAGGAATCAGCTATAAATAACCTTTTCCACTTATTTCAGGTACCAGGTAGTTGTAAGTGAGACTTCTGTATTTGCAAACTTAAAATATACACAGAAGTGTCATGGATTTCCCCAGGCAACCTAAATTTCAACATGACTCACAGTCGCCATCTGCTGGTGAAAGGTTGAACATCTACTTCATGTAGAGATGGAAAGCACAAGGCTTTTAATAACAGGTATTACAACACACACACAACCACTACCATTGTTTAACCAATAAAATTTAACCTATAAATTCTAGGGCATTCAGATTAAAAATGTGGGGAAAATTAAACATCCAACTCCAGAGTTTTCTATGGTATGCTTGATAGAGAAACAAAATTTATTATCTAAAATCCACTTTCAAATATGTTATTACATCACTTATCATATATTAATCCCACCTCATTAGTATGAAGAAAAAAGCTGGCTACACTATATTCAGGCTGTGTAGAAAGGAAACAGGAGCATTTCCAAATGGTAAATTTCTACCCTTTACGAAGGGTAAGAAAAGCAAAAGATTAAAAATCAATACTGTTAGTGCTTCAAGACACGTGACTTTGGCTGGAGAGACCAAAAGAGATTATGGTCATGGTATCATAAATAAAATATGATTTTATTTCTCCACATCATATCCCAAGACATAAGCATTTATAAATATGCTCAGAGAGAGAGAGAGAGAGAGAGATTGATTCAGTGAGTTAATAGAATAAGCCCCATGCTATGTGTGCAGATGTAAATCTGGGGGTGGGGCAGGTATCAGGTTGAAAGGTACCTCACATGCTATCACTAGTGCTCTCAGAAATAAGCAGGATGCAAAAATAAACTCAAATATAAGGGAGAGATGAGCGATGAACCAGCTCCTGAAGTGACCATTATCTAAGGGCACAGGAGGACGGAATCGTGAGCCGCCTATGGCAACTGTACGCAACACAGAGAACCACCTGTGGCCCGGAGCCCGATGTCTCCTGGAGGGGTGGGCGCACGGGCTGTGGAGGGCGGAAGAGCATCCTTGGCTTTTGCTCACCTGGAAGCAGATCAAATGACCTTCAGCTAATAGGAGGCTTGATTCCATGCAGTACAGACATGAACGCAGTTGAAGGAAGTTATTTAACAGAAAGTTAAAGGCTAGAATGAAGATATCTGAGTGGCAAAAAGCATGAACTCTGGACCCAGAGTGAGAATCCTGGTTTGTCCTCTTATAAGCTGTGCAATCTCAGCGAAATTACGTAACTTCTCTGTTGCCCGATTTCTTCATCTGTGAAACTGAATTAATGGTACCTACCTCGAAGGAATGTTGTGGTAGGTAGTTTTTAAAATCTATTTAATAAGTTAATAGATGCAGGTGCTACAAATGGCACCTGGTGCACAGTAAGTACTATGTGAAAATGTCTGCTATTCTTAGTTAAGGAAGCAAGATTTCTTGGCATTTATACCACATCAATCATAGTATGTCCATCATTTTGGGGCTGGAAGCCTTGGTCTCTTGGAGAGTAAAATGAGGATATTTTTAGTTGTGACTAAAATGATGGATGCATAATTTCTGACTGCCACATTCTTCATTGTTAGCTACAGAGGCACATAAGCAATATAGTCATTCTATTATTTTGAATGACATATTATACTCCTTCCTTAACGATACGTGCACATGCATTGCAGCTTGGCTGCCATGCCTGCATGTGTGGAGCGGGGCACGTGGCTCTCCGGTGGAGCAGAGGCAATGGACTCATTGCAAGGGCAAGGAGACTGCTAGACTACACTAACTTCTACTTTGAGCTCCGAAACTATGACATAAGGAAAGACCCGTATGCAGTCATTCCAGAGACTTTTCAGCAAAAACGTTAAGTGGTATTAAGATTTGTCAATGCTTAGACTAGATGAGATCCAGCAGTAAGTGGTATGTCAAGACATTTTGATTTCTAGTTTATTGGCCCCCTGAGTAAAGGCTGCAGTTGTCTGGAAACCACACTTGCTGTATGAGCAAAACAGTCTTCCACGTACCTTCTCAATTAACTCGTAACTCTCCTCGAGCTTGAGCTGCCTGTTCTGCACGGACGTCGACGCGCGATGATAGACCGCGCGCCACTCCTGAAAGTCGCTCTCTGAGATCTCGGCCACGGCAAAACACAGAGTTCTTAATCCTGAAAAAGGTAGCATACACGCCAATACCAAATTTTATTCAGAAGTCTGACACTTCCATTTTCATGTAACAAAGTCTTGTTTAGAAAACATTCCTTTAATTGCAACAACGTGTTGAAGTCCGATTCAAGTACGACTCAGGGTAAAATGTACGTTCATGTTGCCCTAGCTTTTAAAGCTGGCACCCTGCTTCTAATTCCCAGCTCCTTCAATCCGTCCTCTGGGCCTAGGGTGAGTTTTTTAAAAACCTGATTTTACCAGGTTATGCCTCTGCTTGAAGTCTTCACTTGTTCCCCCAGAATGAAGTCCAAACCCTGAAGTCTAGCTCGTGTGCCGTATAGCAATTGTTTTCAGCCTTGCTCTCTGCCAACTACTTCCTGCATACCAGCGTCTTCCCACGTGCTGGTCACTTCTCCATCCTGCCCTCTCCAACTCCCCTCCCCTGCCTGTTTTGCATCTACTTTAAAACTCAGTTCCTAACATCACATCTTTAAAGCACCCTCCTCTCACTCTGACCCCCTGGGCAGAAAACCCCAGACACTGCCAGGGTGTGAATGACAATGTTTCGTTGTTTTTTCTGTGGATCTCCTGCATTAGCTTAGTTCTCCCGGAGTCCAGGGGCCCCGCCAGACTGTGACTCCAGTGCCCAGCACAGTGGCTGGCTCACCACACTGGCTTCGCAGACGCTGGGGAAGGGAAGAGACGCCGCTGAGGCCTCCTGGGAGAGCTGCCTTCCTCTCATGGGATATGGGGTTGTGTTTGCGGTAGCTCTTTCCCACCAGAAATTTGTAGTCATAACAAAGCTTAAAAAATGGAGGAACTGCCACAGAAAAAAAACCCCATGAGGAACAACACCCTGGGGAAAATATCAAAGGTGATGCTTGAGGTGACCTGCTCTCAGTCCTGGGCGTCCATCGACTTCATAACTCACTTGGGGGCCACCTCTCACCAGGAGAAAGCTGAGGGGTTGGGACAAGGAAGAGGCAGAGACCTTCGGTCAGCCACGACAAACACAGTTAACGAGGTTCCCGAAAAGACAAGGCCTTCGCTCAAGTTCACTTTAACTCTCAGAACAACTGGGTGCTAGCGATCTCAGGTCAAATAAAACACGCCTGGGCAACCTGTCCGAAACGAGAAGCAAAGGACAGAGGACGTAAAGAACCCAGGGACTTGACCTTCCAAGAAAGCTGTCGGGATATCTACTGCTAGATCACGGAGAGAAGAACTTAAATCTTGGGGCCCACAGCAGAACATGGTTTTCTCTTTTGGAAGCTTGGCTGGAGACTTACTCGGGGGTAACTATGGGGTAGAAGTGTTGTTTGAACTGGGGCCAGAAAGAACGGGCAGAGGTGGAGGCCATGCCAACCTGAACCTGCCTAAGAGCCGCGTGCCTGTGACATCACGACCAGACAGGAGGAGACGCACCAGGAGTCTGAACTCCACGGACGGGTCTCTCTGTGCTCCCGCATTTCTGGAGGAAAACTGGGAGGAGGTTATTTATGTCCTCGCTTTTCAGAGTGCTTTGAAACATTCCTGTCTTTCCACAGTTTGGATTAAGAAGAAAAAGGATTTGATCTGCGGCCAGGCTCGGTGTCACTGGCACCAGCTCCAGCCCAAGAAGACGAGAGTGAAACCTTAGACGGGAGGTTGAGCTACAGCGTTGGCTACTTGAATGTAGAGTTGAGACTTGACAGATTCCTGAATAACTGACCCTGATGTCTCACGGCTCTCGCTTCCTCCCGTCTACTCTAGGTCCTCTGCCCCCACTGCGCGCTGCTTTGTCATCCGGATGGTGCAGGTCAGTGGGGAAGAGAAAAGGGACTTAGTTTGTTTTTCATGGATTCCTAGGCCTCACACGGAGGCTGAATAACTATTTAAATAGTTACACGGGTTAACTTATTTCTTTTCTTTTTAATTCAGATTGGAAGACCCAGGTCTTTGCCTCTTGTTTCTTTTCCTTCTGCACAGCTTCAGGTACAAAGTGAAGCATTTAAACTCTAAATAGTATCCATTCCAAAAAGTGGACAAATTCATAGACCCTATACCGTCTAAAATGAAGGGAAAATCTCTTAAAATATTAGAGTACAAGAAAGTAAGATACAAATAATGGGTGGAAATAGCGTATAGTATAATGTAAATAATCAGGAATCGCTACCTTGCTTTAGGAATCTCTGAGTAAAACAGCAATGATGATCCTGCAGTATGTCAGTGGTCTATGACTGCGTTAAAAATTTTAATCGTGCTTTATCACGACATTACACTCACCTTCCGTAGCAAACTGCTCTAAATGTTTCAGGGTAATTTCTTTGTATTTTGAGGTCTCTGCCAGTCGATCGTAAATGACGGTGTCCTGGAAAACAAACAGAAGGTACACACTTGAACTGAGCTTTCTGACTTTAATAAAGGTGACGTTGGCAGCATTATTAGCAACAAACTAGCATGAAAGCAACTGTTTTTAGTGTTGGTTTTAAGGCATAAAATGTTTTTCCTTCTCAACACCGTTTCCCTAAAGACACTAGACAATAAGGTTTCAGTCTGACATTTTTCATCTTTCTCCTCTGAACAGATCTGTAGGTACTCCAGTGTTCAAGATCTTGCATTCTGGCCACGTCGTACCTCCCGTGTACTGCGGGATCTGTGCCCAGCCCTGAGAGCTGTTGTGCGGAAAGAGCACTGACTGCTGTGCTCTCAGGGGCTACGAGAAGAACGGTCAGCCTCAGGGAGTTTGGGGACCGCTGGACCGGACAGAACTGAAGAGCCTGCCTGCTCGCAGAGCCTTTCAAGTGCTGCCGTGCAGGGTGGTGCATCCCTAGGGGGGCCACACGCACGTGCGCACACTCATTCACCACCGGACCTCTCAGGGGGGAGGGGGTCATGACCCGGCCGTGCTGACAGGGAACAAACTCCGAGAAGCACAGGTGTAAGTCTGCTGGGAGGGCTCGTGGGCAGAGGAGGAGAATCTTGGACAAACCTAGCTTTGCCATAGAGCTGAATAGTTCTGACTGTGTCCCTTCAGCTTTACGGCTCGATTTACTTAGCCCACAAAAATCCGGTTACTGGATTATCTTTGAAGTTCTTTTCAGCTTCAGCTGTACACACCACTTATGTTTCTCTAACTTTTGGCCCTTTATAGACTGCCTATTGTCCCTTCAGCTTTTCTTTGGCTTGGGTTTAACATTTTCAGAATTTTAGTGCTTGGCCTTCATGGTTTTATTAGACCAGGAAAAAATAAATCATTTACCTGCAATTACTTTCTCAGTGGTATTACCCACTTCGGGGTCTCTCGTCTCAGGGCTGAGATGTGGAAGCAGACTAATGGACTATGATTTAGAGCCCTTGAGAGAAACAGAAACCTTAGTGACCTCAGAACAGATGGAATATTCCAGGCCCCAATTATGAATTTCTTTTCATTTTTCAGTGGCGGAACAGGAAGGGGGGCAAAGCAAAGGAAATAATAATTTCCCCTCGTGGCTCCTTCCTGAGAGTGAAAGGTATAACGTATGAGCTATTTTTTTCCCAGAGGTTAATGACATTTTCAATGAAATTAAAATAGGCCATTTAAAACTAAGAACGTTTTTTTTAAAAATGAAAGTCATGTCAACAGAAGGGGTACGAAGGCCAGGGAGAAGAGGCTCTGCAACAGTGGAAGACACGGATGCTCCACGCAGGGGAGTTTTCTGCCTCCTTTGCGGTGTTGCGGGGACAGAAGGGGACAGACTGTGACCGGCTGCATGAATCGCACAGCATATTTTTAAATGCCACTCACACCTGTCCCTCCTTGCACGCGAGAAAGACACACCTACAGGCACCTTTACACCCGGAGTGGTGCTCCTTCACTCAGGGGGCTGTATCAACTGATTGAGTGTTTGGCACATTGTCAGAAACTAAAAGAGGAGACTTCACAGGAACTAAAGCACATGCACCACGGGACCAGGCCTGGAACCCATTGAGCCCACGTTTATAGCAGGAAACCCTAACTGCATGTACGGACCCAGTGTCCTCGGCCAGGTCCAAGTGCAGACGCGTGGGGAGTGGATGCTGCCAGCGAGGCCCGGCATGGGGTCTAGTTACTTACTTGTGTGAAGGGCCTAGAGCTGCAGGAGGAGAAGTCCCAGGTGAGTTTTCATTCAAAAAGTTCACCGTTGGGACTGAAGCTCCACGCTGCTCTGTCCTGGTGTACCGTGAGTGCCCTGCACACGGCAGGCATTCAAAATATGTGCAGAGTGTGTACCTGGGGTAATTCGCAATCATCCTGGAATTCCACGTGCATGGAATACTAAGTAATACAATGCTGCCAGATAGAGAAGGGACTGTGCAATGAAACGCAAGCGCCAACAATAAGGTGGTAGCAAGCAAAAAGGAAACCACAGAGGTCTCACATAGTTACTTGTATAACCGCTGCAATTTATACTGAGGTTACCTAGATGGTGGTGTTACGAACTGGCCAGTCAGCATCAAGGAATCTGCTTTTGTTTTTGGGTTAGACAAGGTGAGATACGCTTGGGCCCTCATGGACTGGAGTGTTTGCTAAAGGCAGTAGACAGGCCTACATTTCACCATGGACCAGCATGCTTCGGGTCTGTGTGTGCCACTCCGAACTGTCTGTACTTTGTGATGACTAATGTCAGATATGGTCTTTTTGCGTACAGCACCACATTTTATTTAAGAGGGCACATTAAATTGAAATTTTCAGTCACTTGAAGGTCCTTAAAGCATTCAGTGTTCTAGCCAAGTTTTCTCCTCTGGAAAGTAAGTATTGGAGTTGGATTTTTATTTTCTTGAATAAACTAAATTTTTAGCTGTGTAAATGTTACTTTTCATAAATTGGCTTCAATGGCAGATATAAATTGTATATTGTGTACTTTTCCTTTTTTTAATTTAAAAATTAACAAAGCAAGACAACCTCACTGCAGAAAATCTGGGGAAAAGCAAGAAATAGAAGTCATCTTCAGCACTGTCTTCTGATTCACTAACTCCACCCTCTACCCCTTCAACTCTGTCTAGAGTTTATTCCATTTACTGACGTTCTTTCTTAAATTCATCTACCATTTCTAATTTATCCTATAGGTAGGATATCTATTCTCTCCTCTACCCAATTTCTTTTTTAGTATAAATCATTGGAGAAAAATGATCATTTCTTTATCATGTTGAGCTCTAAAGACCCTTTGTCAGGCTGGCCCACACAGATGATTTCAACTGGAGTAAATCCACGCTCCAGCTGTCTGTGTTCTTGCTCTCCTGGCTTGACTCTTGCTTTCTCCCCTTCTGCCTGCAACCCAATCTAGTCAGTCTCTAGAGCCCCCACAGAGGTTGGCATGAGCTTTGCTTAGCCTTATGATGTGACTGGGACGCTCACTGCTGTCTTAAGCTTCAAGGAAGGGAGGCTGGCTCCCGCCTGCATTGCACAGGAAGCACTGGATCCTCCCTGTATTACACGGGAAGCACTGGATCCTGCCTGCATTACACGGGAGCACTAGTTCCCACTTGCATTACACAAGAAGCACTGGCTCCCACCTGCATTACACGGGAAGCACTAGTTCCCACCTGCATTACACGGGAAGCACTGGCTCCCACGGGCATTACACAGGAAGCACTGGCTCCTGCCTGCATTACACGGGGAGCACTAGTTCCCACTTGCATTGCACAGGAAGCACTATTTGCTCCCACTGCCCCACAGAAACCAAACCCAAGCCACTCCTCCCTGATTCTGAACCCAGGGCCTGGGACTCACACCCCACTCAGCTCAAGACTTCATTTCAATGTATCACTTTGATTTTTGGTTCCTATTTTGCTTTTGAGACTGGCTTTATCTTTGTTTTCTCCTTGTATTATTCTGTGATTCTGAAATAGAGGAGATACATTAAAGTGTGAACAGACTATGCTACTAATACCTTGGTTTCTCAACTGACTTTTGTGACTGAAGTACTGTGCTGCACTTGTCACTTCTGATTCTTCACCCTGCCAGTGAAGCACCAGACTCCTTAGACTTTCCTCCACGTTTTAGTCGCCCCACCTGGATCCCCTACTTTTCACCTTTAGTCCTCCTTTCTTTTCATGTAATATTTTCCTCATGCGAGATCTCATCAACCCTCTGCTTTTCGTTTCCACCTGTACTTGTTGACTCCTAACTTTGTATCAGCACCCCAGACTTCTTCCCCTATGAAATCCAGGTTCTCAGAGGTAGCAAGTGGTATCACTTAGTAAACTCAGTTAACCAAGCAGAAACCTGGTAATTTCACCTCTCCCTCATCGTCCTAACTCTTGGGGCCCTCATTCCTCTCTGCGACTGTCCCGGTTCAGATCCTTGTCAGCTCTGGCCTGCACTGTCATCAGTGGCCTCAACTGGTAACTCCCTATGCATCTCTTTTCTGCCTTATCTCACTTTGTAAATGACATCAGAACAATCCAGAAAAAAGTAAAAGTTCTCGGGCATGCAAAAAAATCTGTGAGAATATTCATGCCCATCTTTCCAGCTTTGCATTCTGCTATTCTCTGGCAAAGTACACGTAGTTCTCAAATGCACCTTGCTGTTTTATATATTTATGCCTTTTTAGTATTTAACCACACTTTATAGCCAACTTTAAAATGGGGGAAAACAATATGATAAGCAAGTTAATGTATGCAAACCATCTCTGTGATTATTTTAAAAGGGAGTCCAATGTTTTTATTTTGTAGTCAACACTTTAATTCCCCAAATTTCTAGGCAGAAGATTCCTCAAAACCAAGAAAGATAGAATGTGATTTGGGTATAGTAAACTGGACACATAAATATCAACCATTTAAAGTGGGAGATCTTAAAGGTTCTCTTTCTTCCCTCACCACTGAACATCACCACTGAGACTGAGACGGAGATCTTTATGACATTCCTTTATCATTGTATCCTCATCTTCTCTTTATACGTATTTGCCTGACTAGCCTTACACTCCTGACAAGGCTTGGGTCTCATCTTCCTTCCTGTCTCCAAAATCCATCTCAAAATCTGGTAGATAAAATGCACACAACAAATAAATGTTAATTGTTGGAATTCACAACCGAAGGAATTCTAAAACTAAATTCTTGAGAAATCACAAAATAGTTCTACCAAATGCTTTACAATGAAAGCATTCCAGAATTGCATTTTAATGTTTTAAAACCAAGGCATTGAAAAGCACGCTCAACGGGAATTACATAAAAATCTTGGGCTTCTTCATAAGTTCAATTTCCAAGTTCTGTGCAATTTTATTTATCTTTTTTTTAATATTTTATTTATTTATTTTTAGAGAGGGAAGGGAGGGCGATAGAGAGAGAGAGAGAGAGAAACATCGATGTGCGGTTGCTGGGGTTTATGGCCTGCAACCCAGGAATGTACCCTGGCTGGGAATTGAACCTGGGACACTTTGGTTCCCAGCCCGCGCTCAATCCACTGAGCTACGCCAGCCAGGGCAAGTTCTCTGCAATTTTAAAGCAACGTTGTTGATTATATTGAAAATTACAAAGTTGTAAGTTTGGTAAGTTACCTGACTAGGCTAAGTAGACTAGGTACCTGGAAAGGAGAACTCAGAAGGAAAATACTGACTAATTTTAAGAACAATAAAAAAAGACCCTGGTTAGTAGATTTTTTATTTTTCAATGAGTGGAAACATTTTAACTAGGAAAATTAAATTAGAATGGCATCCTACTGTTCCTGCCAATCAAACCTGCTAATATACTAAGGCCAGACAATAGTTAGAGATTCTTTTATTATTTAAAACAGTGCAAGACAAATAGTAATCACCCCATGAAGAAATGAGAGCAGTAATTGTGATCCAATTTTCCCCCGTTCCAGCTGTATTTAAAAAATTAAATTCAAATTGGTGTGGATCACTACATTTCTAATTCAATTTTTAAAATATTTTCTGTATTTAAGTGTCTTCTAAGGTATTTATATAATGTAAATTTCCAGTATTATGCATCAAAAATTAAATTATATAAATAACCTAGGCCAAACTTTTTCAAACACCAAACTTATCCAGGAGGAATTCCACATTTCACCAGGAAAGGCCAAACACTATTACAATAAAACTCCAACAAAAGTGGATGTCAGCAACTTCATGCTAAACATCTGTGTTACATTTCCATAGCAGAATGCTTAACATACACATTATAAACTATCATAAATCAAAACTGCGAAAGACAAAAATAAAACTTACAGCTCCTTTGCAGTAAAGTCGTAACTTCCCGGATGGAGTGCGAACAATCACTGACATTCTTTTCCTAGCACTGAAAGGGAAAAGGTTTTCCATAAGGTGTCCTCATACCAAGAATATGCATCTATGTGTGTGCCATGCCTCACATATTTTAATGCTCACACTGAAAAAATAAATTCAACCAAATTATGAGCCCTATCCTCCCACACATACAAACCCTCCCCTGGGTGTGCAGTTGGGAACCTTTGAGAGTTACTTTATGTTTTCAAGGTGCCAGGGTACCATCTGCTGCCCTGGAGGAATGCTCTATAAAACTGCTCCCTAGAGACCGGAGGAGTTAGTACCCACCAGGGGGGAGGAGAGTGCTGGCTCAGTGTGTTCAGATTTTAAAAAACAACACTGAAGCCGGGTGTTGTTTTAAGATGCATTGCACGTTACAGTTGTTACTAAAATCAGAAATGATGACCAGTTTTAAGTTCATGCCCCATCACACATAAGGGCAAACACTAGCACTTTGTAACTGACTGAAACATTCACAACTACTGATCTTCAATGATTGCTAGCAAGCCACCAGCATCGTGTAAAAAACCCAATTGACATCACGAAGCTAAGCTAATGAGCACAAACATTTTCACGCTATATTGGTGATATAAGCAGTTTAGGGAAAACTGTTAGTCAAATATGCAACATCTTTCAAAGCATTAGCCAAGAGACAGCAAATACCACTGAACAGAACAAACCGGCACCGCACTGTGTAGAGTGGGCCTCACGGAATCGAATGCGTAATGGCCTTCTCTCCGAACATGAAGGGGAGAAAGGACTTCCCAAATGCCTGTGTTTCTTTGCTGTACCTTAGAATGCTCTGCTGCTAAAAAACTGAGACAGGTCTAACATAAAGTAGCAGGAAAATGCAGGGTCATGGCACACAGCCAGGACTTTCTCTCAGAAGTGTCTAGAAATATTCAGTCTCCTTTTACTCCACCTACATTTCCACTGCACAGTCATACACCACACAGTGACATTTTGGTCAGTGATGGACCGTGCACATGATGGTGGCCCCGTAAGATTATAATGGAGCGGAACACTCCTGTGGCCCATCGAACCCATCCTAACGCCACCGTGTATCACTCCTGTGTTCGAGGTGATGCCGGTGTAAACACACCTCCTGCGCTGCCAGTCGTATTAAAGCACAGCACGTGTGAATGTGTATGGCTTCAGAACACTCGGTCATGACAACAGATACATGTGTTTATGTATTTGCCACACTATACCTTTCACAGTTATTTCAGAGTGCACTCTTTCTACTAGCTCAAAAAGTTTGTTGTAAACACAGGAGGTGTCACGCCAGCAGCACCTCCTCCATCCCGTGTTTACTGCATCCCCGGGCCGTTTGTTTTCTCTCGTGCTTGACTTCACTGTGTTCTGGGTTGCTCATCACAGTGCCTAAGCACTGGCGGAAAGAGGAAACACCTCCTGAGGCACTTCTAGAGCGCACCCCCGCTGTGAAGTGATGAATGGCGGTGTTAGTGCCTCCAGCCTCCTTCCCTGTTCTTTAGGAAAACACCTGACTGGGCCCCCGTTGTCATGACATCTGTATATTCTGTCTCAGCCCTTCTTTTTTGTATTTGTTGAATTTATTGGGGTGACATTGGTTAACAAAATTATATGTTTCAGGGGTATGATTCTATGATACATCACCTCTATACTGTACTGTGTGTTCACCACCCCAAGTCTTCTTCCACCACCATTTACCCCCCATTTGCACTCCCCTACCTATCCCCACTTTTCCCTCTGGTAGTCACCATACTGTTGTCTTTGAGGTTTTGTTCTTTTTTTTCCTCTTAATTCCCTCACCTTTTCACCCAGCCTTCCTCACCTCCTCCCTGACAGATGTCAGTCTTTACTACGCATCTATGAGTCTGTTTCTATTTGGCTTGTTAGTTTATTTTGTTCATTAGATTCCACTTATAAGTGAAATCATATTTTATTTGTCTTTATCTGACTAGCTTACTTTACTTAGCGTGATACCCTCCAGGTCCCACGCTGTCTCAAGGGGTAAGGTTTTCTTTTATCTCAGCCCTCCTTGATCCATGCCTTTCTTAATCCGGCTTTGATGACATGGTCCCAAACTCATCAACTTTTTCTCTTCTCTTGGCAAAACTCCCAACTCCTGGGTGAATGGGACCCCTCTCTGTGGCACAGTAGAGTACGTGGGCATTGCTGGAGAAAAGTCACCCAGCCACAGCGATTAGTAACTACATGACACCAATGTCAATGGCTCCACAAGGCCCTGTAACCCGCTACATTTTTCCAACAAGCTTGTTCTCCCCTCCGCAGCACTATGCACACCTTCTCTGTTCTCCAGGTCTCCAGTGAGCCCGCATCACTCTCGACCCTTCGAAGTTTTGCACTTCACTTCAAAGAAAGCCCCACACAAGAAATCTCTATTCTTTCTGCAATTAAAACCTACACGTTTATCTACCATGCACCCTCCTCTCTGTCCCTTTTCTGGAAACGATGGAGGAAATGCTTCTTTTCCTATCGGGAACCTTGCTTTCACTTGCAGTGTGAACCTGCTCTCACCCCACTTTCTTCGTAACTTCACTCCTGAAGTTACGGTGCTGTCTCCTGAATCTTCATTCTCTCCTTCTAGGACAGATTCTTATTATCAATATTTAAACATGGTCTTGTCTCTCCCTACAAACCTCTCCCCAGACCGCATCCCCTCCCCATTGAATCACATCCCCTTTCAACAACTCATCTTTTTAAAATAATCGCTATATACACTGTCTCCGCCTATCTCCCCCCACCCCGCCCCTTCCCATTGCCCTCTCTCCTCACCACTGCACAGAACGGCTGAATCCAACACCTGCTTCTCAGCCTTCCTCTTACCAGACTTTGCAGCCGTTTCTCACACAAAGGACCATTATCTCCCTGAAATCATCCTCTTCTCTGGGCTCTGTGTCATTTTTCTCTACTTCTGCCACAAAGCAGTCTCTTTGCCAATTCCTCTTTTTCTACTCAACCCTTAAAAGTTAGAGTCACTCACGCTCAATCCTCAGCCTTTCTTGTCTCCCTCACTCTGTATCGTATATCCAGGAGACCCAACTCATCTTCATGGCTGTAGGTGCCGTTTTCAGGCCCGTGACTACAGAACTTGGATTTCATCCAGGACACTGCACCCAGCCGCCTACCCCTGACCCTCCATTCGTGTGCCTCACAGGCATCTAAAACTCCATTCCAGCATCTCATCCTCCACATCCATGCCTACTCCTATGTCTTCCATCTGTGTAAACAACACCTCTGTCGACCCAGCTATTCACATGGAGGCGCTTACCCCTCCCTCCTCTCTCCTTCCACATCCAATCCATCCCAAGAGCCCCTGACATCCCTCAAGGTACATGGATTCTGTCAACTTCACTTTACTTCCACTACCGTCATCCCAGTCTAAACCATTAATGTCTTTCACAGTCTGTTTTAATACCACCTTATTCACTTGTTTCACTCTCACCCTGAAGCCTGCCCCCATCACAGCACTTTGAAAAAGCTTAAACTCCCGACTGTGCTATTATTTTTCTCCTTGGCATTTATCACTTAGCATAGGGCTTCTAAGTACAGGTTAATAAACAAACATATCCACATGCTACTTGATATCCTATTTATAATATTTTATAGATATCATACAAGGGGGCTCAGGAAAAGCAGTTGCTTTGACATGAATAAGAGAAGACATGGAGGGTACACTCTGGGAATACTCTGTTACAGCTACTCATCCAAGGTCTCGTGCATTTTCCCTTGAGCCGGTCAGTGCATACGAGTCAAGAAAACAGTGCTTAAATAATAAATTAGACAGACCCCATTACTTTTGATATTAACCACTGGCCTGTGGTCACCCCTAACCAACACAGCAACCAAAGTTGGCAGAGGGAAGGAAAGGCCTTTTCTTTCTAGTCTGTGTACATGCTTGTCTGAGGAAGGAGTGACCTCAGGAAAAAAGGCGGACACTTATTGCATCTAAGCAGCAGCATTACTCCCTGCCTGGGGTGTAAAGAAACTCTGAAGTGTTTTGTGAATGGTGATGCAAACTTCAGAGACCTTCCTGTCTGCAGGAAAAGACTATTTGCCTGAAGAATGTAGGCCAGTTGGGAAACTACATAGTCATGTGGGAATAAAATGTCTAACACTCACAGAGATATCACTGATTATAACAGAAGGCCTTTGTTATTTGGCTTAAAGAAATGAACTCAGTAGAATAATCTCTTTGCTTTCTGTTCTTTCCTACCAGATAGTAACTGGTTTTATACCTAAGAGAGAGATAGATGTGGTTTCCAGAATCCCAAAGACAATTAGATATAATGAGCACATAATTAGAATGGTGGGCTCCTAACTCTCATTCATTTCCACTCCACATAAATCTTGGCCCCTCCAAGTACAACAGCGTTTCCAGATCATTAGCCGTCAGGGCCCTGGTCCTGCACCCCATGGCTAGGATGCGGACGGTCATGTTGAAAAATAGTCTCACAGTGTCTTTAGGAGTCATATCCTGCAACATTCTGAAAGAAGCTATTTCTGATTTATCTATCATGAAAATGAAAAACCGTACTGAAGATTTTAGATTAACATTTTGTCTTAATAAATTTAGTCAAATAAAAGAAAGCTACTTTCTTACTTATTTAAGGGGAACCAATAGCAACAGACAGAAACTTATCTTGCACACACAAATCACAGAGCAGACGTTTTACCTGGTGAACTCCAGGACACTGAGCAGCTCATATCTCTCCTCTTGCCCCAGCTGTGAGGAAAAGGAATACATGATTATGTAAAGGTGGAAATATCTTTGGCTTCTTGGAAATAAATCTTGGTCATGAAATTTTTTTTAGAGATTTTGTTTATTTTTAGAAGAGGGGAAGGGGGGCAGAGAGAGGGAGAGACACATCAGGGTGAGAGAGAAACATGGATCAGTTGCCTCTCACATGCGCCCAGGATGGGGACGGAATGGGTATCCCCGACATGGGTCCTGGCCGGGAATCCAACCAGCAACCTTCCAGTCAGGGTAGCCATGGAATTTTAATGTAACATAAATGTCAATACCAACCAATCACCCCTTTCAAAATCACCTTTTATTGAACTTACTAACTTTCAGGTTAAGATGGAAACCTGGACATTCATTCACATTTAATTTTCATCCTTCCCAAAGCCCCACTAAAATGATAGCAAACACTTAAAAAGGAAGTGCCTTGTAATGGCAGGAAAATAAGAAAAGAGACAATAGCACCAAACATTTGAAAAGAGATCAATGAGTGGAATCTTACTTAGCAGACATGGGAAGGTCAAATGCTATAGTAACCATGGAAAAGCTGACAGACAAGCCGATCTGCACCACAATATCCTTAAAAGGCATGAAGAAGTGAAGTACCGGACAGCTCCAGAACTGTGAGGTGGAAGGAGGGGCCTAAAGAGGGGAGGCCTGGGTAAGAGCTACTTGAAAAGCAGCTCTCAGCACTAGCCCTTCCTGCACATCGGTGGAAGACCAGACGTAAAGCAGAGGCTCATTTCTCTAGAAGTTGACTGTTTTTCAGTTGACTATGTGATATCGTTCTACTGATGCTAAATGCTGGGTCCCAGTGCCCCAACCTGCTTAGCTCCCTCCATTGTGGCAGCCACATCCTTCCAGGCAGAAATTGGAAGGTTACTCTCTGGGGAACCCAAAAAGCCCGAGAGGCACAGACACCACAATTCCCCAAACTAATCCCACTAGAGCACCCCACCGTGCAGCTCATTGTCGATATCCTCATATGCTCAGAACTGCCACATCAGCTTCCAAGTTCCTCGTTTCTTTTTTTTTAGATTCCATTTATGTATTTTTAGAGAGAGGAGAAGGGAGGGAGGAAGGCAGGGAGGGAAACATTGATGTTCGAGAGAAACACTGATTGGCTGCCTCTGCCATGCGCCCCAACCAGGAATCGAATGAATTGAGCCACACCAGTCAGAGCAAGTTCCTCATTCTTAACTAAGAGAATCCTAAAGATGAATAGGCATCTAAGGGAAGCTTGTTGACACGAAACACAGCCACCCAAAACAAACGGATCAAAGCAATTCGGAGGAAAGAGAATTCAAAAGCACGACCTGGTGGCGGCCCATGGAGTTTCAGGTTCTGGGTTTCCTGATGGGCATGGGTGGGTGGGGGGTGGGGCTGGAGAGCTGGCCCTGGAGGCCTCTTCGCTAGACTAGTGGAGACAGACCTCTAGGGGACCACATGCTTCACAGGGGACATTTTCTCTTCTGCCATTGGAACTCCACTGCTGTGGCTTCCTGATGGCAGAAAACTGTTTGCAGTGCTTTCTACCCTTGAAAATATTGCTGCATTAGTGAGCATACGCTTTTTAATGGGATCTGTGAAGAACGTTTCAAATAATAAGCTTGCCTGTAACCATGCTTAAGCTTTTGTGATTGATATTTACAGCCTGTGTGCTGCTCTTTGGTGGCGTAGGAGAGGACCGGCCTTATATTCTACACTCTGCAGTTCCTGTCAACGATCTGGCATAGTCTATTATTTGCCATGTACAAGGCTCATATCTCCCAAGTAGGAAATGAGAAACTTTGAGAGAGAACATTTCAAAGTCAATGTTTAATTGTTGGTGAATATGCTTTTCCCACAATGATAATTACCGCAAAAGAAAAAAAAAATACCAACCACTGTGATAGTTTACATATACTCCCACTTTATGTTCTCATAAAAACTACAGTTTAAGTTATGTTTGTAAATGTATTATTTTTATGTAAACTTTTTAAATAAAAACTTCAAAAAAACCAATCATTATTCCTCTCAGAGAAATAACGCAGTATGACACGCATAAGACAAAAATGGGATACTAGGAAATAAGAAATATTGAAAGGACACACAGAACTCTGGAAATCAAAAACATGATAGCAAAAAAATAAAAAAAACCTCAATAGAAGGGTAGGAAGACAAAGCTGAGTAAAACTTCCAAAAAGTAGAATGAAAAGTCAGACCTGAAAAGCAGGAGAGAAAAGTTAGAAGATCAGTTCGGGGATTCTAAAGAGAGAGCAGAGCAGAAAGAGGGAAGGAAACTGTAAACATTCTGGAAAATTTTCCAGGACTGCAGGACAGCACATCAGTTTCCAGATGGAAAAGGGTTCACCCAGCGCTCAGTATACTGGGTGCAAATATTCCCACAAAGGCACACGATCACAACATTTCAAAACTCTGAGGACAAAGAAGATCCATCAACCTTCCAGAGAGAGGACAGCGTCGGGTGGGAGGGGAAGTCACAGAAGATGTGGAATCAGAATGGGTTCTTTTTTCTCAATTAGGTGTCCTGGAAGCCAGAAGGTAGGAAAGCAATCAAAATTTTTTAGGAAAATGATTTCTGCCCCAGAATTCTATTTTCAGCCAGACTATCAACTATTAAGCATAATGGCAGGGCAAAAAATGTTTAGACTTGAAAGGACTAGCAAATGGACTAATAAATAATTTCCCATGCATCATTTCTCTGTGAAGAACGTGCTCCATAAAACAAGAGAGCCAACCAAGGACAAGGAAGACGTGGGGTTTGGGAAACAGAGGATCTAACACAGGATGAAGGGAAAGGAAGTCCCCAGGAAGACAGGACAGGGATTCCAGCGTGACAAGCATGAAGACTGTGAACTGTCAGCCAGGACGTGGCAGAGCCCGAGAGTCAGGAGCTGGGTTTGCTGAGGGCATCACTGCTATGTGCTCTGCTTCTGTGATAACTTTTTAAACGGACGAAAGTCACAGAACAGGTGCTCCATCAAAACAAGGGAGCTCACTAAGAAAGAAGACTTGAGATTTAGGAAATAGACCTAAACGCGAGAAGATCTAAAGGAAGTTCAAATGCCATTGAAGCAGACCTTAGAATGAAACTGTCCTAGCCCAAGGAGAAGAGAGGACTTCAAGAAGGATGTCTCACTAATAGAATTGCTTACTCCAGATTATCGGATGAAGGTGTACTAGGAGGTATGGAGACAATTGCTAACAGGTAGAATAAATTAAGGAATTGAAAAAATATAGGAATTTATCTTCAAAAAATAAAAAAAAAATATTTTCAGGAAATAATTTTATGTCAGGAATCATAAAATTAAAGAAAATAATCACTGAATACCAACAATGTTCAGCTATGAATTAATCATATAAACACTAAATAATGATTATTTAATGAGCTATAATTTACATACAATAAAATATATATTCCTTAAACGTATAGTTCAAGGAAAATTGTATAGCCTGACAAAGGCAGAATTGGTGAAACCACGACACCAATCAACAAAGCAGAATATTCTCATCACCCCGTAAATTCCTTTGCGCCCTTTTCCCATCAATCTCCTCCCTATCCCCGAGGCAACCACTCTTCAGAATTCTATCACCACAAATTGCTTTTGCATGATCTCGAGCTGCATCTGAATGAAATTAGAGTAGGCACTGTTCTGTGCCAGTTTTTTTTTTGGTTTGTGCAACAGAATGTTTTTGAGACATATCCATACTACTGATGAATCAATAATTCATCCCCTTTTATCATTTAGATACTCTGTTGTATGAGTATGTCACAGTCTGTTTACCCACTGTCCTGTCTGTGGACATTGGGTTTGCTTCCAGTTTCTGGCTACCGTGAATAGAGCTGCTATGAGCATTCCATTAGACATTTGTTTTGTGGACATAAGCTTTAATGTTTCCTGGCTAACTATGAGTACAATTGCTGGGCCAGGTGCAAGCTTACCTGTATTAGAAAACTCTAAAAGTTTTTCCAAAGGGATGACACCATGTTACATGTCTCCTAGCAATACCTGGGTGCTCCACTTGCTCTATATTCTCATTAACAGTTGGTGCAATGTTTGTAATTTTAGCCCTTTTGGTGGTATGCAGGGTACCTCTTTGTGATTTTAATTTGCATGTCCCTGATGACTAATACTGTTTTTCACAAGTTCATGGGCCATTCATATATCTTCTTTTGAGAAATGTTTGTTCAGGTCTTTTGCCCATTTTGAAAACTGAATCTGAATATTTGTTTAACAAAAAATTCTAATATAATTATAATAATATTGGGAAGGGATGGTGAGTCAGGAGAGCTAAATCCTCATTCTCATTTAACATAATAAAATGGAGAGTCCGCAGACATGTCTGAAATTGAAGCATCAAAACATATATCATTAGTCACATGTATTTTTTTTTTTTGAAAATATGAGACGTACAAATGCCGGAAGAAAGTTAAAGAACAGAAAGTGGTTGCTTCTGGAGAAGGGAACTGCAGTGGAGAAGTTCTATTTCAGTACAAGCCGTTTGGTGTCATTTTATCTTCGAAGCTACGTGTATGTTTATTTTGATGAAAAAAAAGACTTGGAAATAACTTACTGAATCTATAATCACTGAGTCGGGTGTCCGTCCAGTGAAAACAAAATTCAGTTGCTTGGCTGCTCTGACCAAGGCTCCCTCATCTGTTTTGGGAAAACAGGGGAAAGCAAACATGTGGTGAGACAAAAACGATCCCCAACACAAGAGAAACACACCACTGTAACTCGACTTGCTGTTTAACTTTTAAAGAATTATAGCTACTTTTTTTTTCTGGCTCCTGCTATTGAAATCCGTTTCTTTTAAAGGTCTATGACAATGCCAAAGGAATAAGTAGAATAATCTGAAGAACCTGAGACAGCGATAGACCCCAGAATCATATTTCTGAGGGTGAAGTCTCACTCTTATTCATACCCAAGAAGGAGAATTTACATGTACCCCTTGGTCCATCGAATTTTCTAGAAAACCTTCCTCAAAATGAATGACACACAACTGCCTTCTTACATTTCATGTTTTTCCTCCCAAAACGTTCATCGTAGAAAAACTAATACTAGTAATTGTGACTTCAATTTAAATGGATACAAATGAATCAATGCTTTATTTTATCCATTATTAATGTCATCACCATTGACATCAAACCTTGTTGCTGAGGGCAGGGTGCGGGATAAGAGTGCATTCACATAGTTTCTATCCAACAATGGGACATGTAACATTCTCATACTTATAAGGAGCATGGTACACTCTACAAGGTCATGGATACTGGCTTAGGCTACAGTTTAAAATAGTTATAATGAAGTTTTCCAAAGTGTGTTCCTTCTTTCCTAAAATCTTATAATAATTGAATTGACTATATACCCAATTTGACATTGAGAATGGATCTAAAATTAAGCCTAAGATTAAACATAGCTAACTGTGCTAATAAATTATTTTACAGAATTCCTTCAAATATGTAAACTGCCTTCATCCCAATAAATCACAACAAGCTCCTTGATTATCATCTCCAAAAAGGGAAGCAAGTTGGTGTTCTAAAACGCACACTGTTCAGGTAAATGGAGCTTCCTTTTCCTGTGCACTTCTGTGCAGAAACAGTTTTTGACTAAGTTTTTTGTAAAGAGGGAGAACTTACTATGTGCACATAAAAAAGTAATTCTCACTTCTGTGAATTTAGTTATTCAAATTTCTATGTCATCTGACAAAAATTACATACTCAAAGTTTTATATTTTAATATATAGAAATATTTAAATATGAAAACCAAGGCTTTTCTAATTAGTAAATATATTTTTTAACTAAAAAACGTAAGTAGCTTTGCGTAGTAGCAGTACTGCAGCCAATGTGGTTTACCCGAGATGTGATTATTGCTAATTGAAAAACAGAAGTAGGTTATTTTACTTTTTTAAGTTAAATGGATTTTTTTCTTGACAATCTCAAATTTCAGAACAATCTTCCACTGAAAAAAATACATCACAACTGCTTCATTTGTACCTGGAGATGCTGCTTGATAAATAATCTTATCGCCTTCTCGCTCCGGCACTGCGGTGTGACAGACTGCCATCATTGTCAGAAACTCACATATTACAGGTGCAGTGGGCTGTAGGAAATAAATACACTTAGCCATTTAAACATTTTGACACTAATGAAAGCAATATTACTTCATGTCCATCAAGAGTGTAGCTGTTAAACATTGTGGGTATGAGGTTATAGCTAAGAAGACATCTATTATGAAGAAAATATATTTTTAACTAAAATTTTCATTCTCACACTCTTTCATTGATTTCTAAACATTTCTACAAGACAACTTGGTGTTATTAAATAGAAACAACGCAGTGAAAAAGGTGGATATGGTCAAGTACTATGTTCAGAAGACAGAAGAGAAATTCTAAAATGTTCATTTACCTGTTCTAATTCCTGATCAGATTTAAATTTTAGGCATTTCAATCTACTGCGGGTCATTATTTTGGGTTGGGGTGATGACGGCAGAGGATTCCTCTGTAATGCCTTGTTCTCCCTCTCTCCAAAAAGGTCAACCTTAACCTGACTCGTTTTACCAAATAAAGAAATGATCGAGCAATTCCTATGCACAATGGGCTCATACAGCCAGAGGAAGACATAAAAGTGAATTCGTTCTGCAAGGAGCTTAGAGTGTATAGGAGAAAAGAAGCCAGAGCTCTTAAATTCAACATCTGCCTATCTGGGTTCTGATGAAGAAAAATATCATCCAAATTAAATAGAAAAATATTTCTCTATGCTGTTGGACAAAAAACAAAACAAAACATAAAGAACTGATTGCAAAACTAAATCAAGCATTATTTGAGAAAACTGCGTTCAGGCTACAATTGTAGACAAAGGAGACACAGTCCCTGCCTTGTGAAACTTCAACTTAGGGGGAAAATAGCGCACAGATAAACATACAAGTATTGCTCATTTATAGAATGAAAAAGGGCTACAAAGAAGAGAATGTGCAAATACACGTAATGTGACTTGGGTGAGTCTGTGGTGGTTTTCATGATAGTGTTATATTTAATCTGATGAGGTTTTAGCCTCATGAGGAACTGAGCATTGTTTCCCATCAAGCAGAAACCAAAGATGACTGGAAAGATCTTAAAGAAGGAAATAAAGAAACGTGTTTGAGAGCATAAAGGAAGGCTAATGTCAGGAGAAAGGAGGGAAGGGTGGCTCCGAGTGAGGGTTGTGACTCAGGCCGGGGCCAGACTGTGTAACTTCGAAGTTCAGAGGGAAGCCAGGGAATAGTTTACAGCAGGGCAGTGATGGGACTTGATTTCTACCTGCATCGCTGCAGTTGACTTGTGTGGTAAGAATCGGAAGGGAGTAAAAAGGAAACAAGGTGAATGGTTAGGAGGCGTTGCGGTAATTCGCGCTGGAGATGCTGGTTGTCTGGACTTGGGTAGTGAAAGCGACAATAGAGTAAAGATGGCATTCAGGATATATCCCAGAAGTCAGCATGGACAAGGACTTGGTGACTCTATTGATCTGGAGATGGAGGGACAAAGAGGTATCAAAAGCAAACTTTGAGTCCCTAGAAAGAGTAGTAAGATTGGTGATGGTGTAACTTGCTAAACCTGAGAACACAAGAGGGAAGAGGGGGTCTAGGTCTAGGTTTTGTGGATCCTGCAGCTAATACATGGTTGAGGGCTCTCTTATGAGAAAAGGGTAACAAAACTGCCCATATGAAGACACTGCTAGAGCTGCTCCACCAGGGGCACAGCTGGTAAGTCCACCTGTCCTTCAGAGAGAGCATGTGCTGGGTAATGAGTATGAGTTCCAGTTTTCACATATTGAGCTTGAAGCAATTGTGAGAAAAAGTTCTGGGGTTTAAAATCCAGGAAACTCCATCACCTGATCTGATGAAATTTTAATGTGTAACTTCATAAAGATGGCCACTGTTCTTACTGTACAGACTTTCCCTGGCCTATCATTCTGAGGGGGTAATTCATTTGCATAGATATTTTGAAATTGTTAACAGTGAATCATTTCAAACAGGGTTCTAATATTATTTAACATAAAACATTTTGAAAAGATAGAGTATTGATAATGATAATATTAAAGCTAAATAACTAATAATCATGAGTCTTTGTTGACCAAGAAAAAATAGCAATGGAGTTTTGAAGACCAGAAAGCTCAGAGAGTCCCAAAGAAGTTGGACCCAAGGAAACACATGCCAAGGCACATCGTAATTACATTACCCATGATTAAAGGGAAGGAGAGAATCTTAAAAGTGGCAAGAGAAAAGAAGACAGTTACCTACAAAGGAGTGCCCATAATACTGTCAGTTGATATCTCAAAAGAAACCTTGCAGGCAAGAAGGAGCTGGAAAGTAGGATTCAAAGTCATGAAAGGCAAGAACCTATATCCAAGATGACTCTATCCACAAAGCTATCATTTGGAATGGAAGGGCAGATAAAGTGCTTCCCCAGACAAGGTGAAGTTAAAGGAGCTCATCATCACCAAGCCCTTATTATATGAAATGTTAAAGGGGCTTATCTAAGAAAAAGATCAAAAACTGTGAACAGTAAAATGACAACAAACTCACAATTATCAACAACTGACCCTAAAACAAACAAACAAAAAACCAGATTAAGCAAATAACTAGAATAGGAACAGAATCACAGAAATGGAGATCACATAGAGGGTTATCAGTGGGAGAGGGGGAAAATGGGGGCAAAGCTACAGGGAATAAGGAGCATAAATGGTAGGTAGAAAATAGACAGGGAGAGGTAAGAATAGTGTGGGAAATGGAGAAGCCAAAGAACTTTATGTATGACCCATGGCCATGAACTAAGGGAGGATAACGCGGGAGGGAGAGAGGTGGGGTGCAGGGCAGAGTGGAATAAAGGGGAGAAAAATGGGACAACTGTAACAACATAATCAATAAAGCATATTAAAAATAATAAAAAGAAAACTATTAAAAATAGTTATAAAACTAAAAAATAAACATGGGACATAATTCAGAGAAATGCTCATTAGTTTTTACTCATTAATTGGAATACAATGATTTTATGTCACTTACATGATTATTTTGGAGATTTTCCAGCAGTGATGAATCACTAAATGTTTTTTCATCTCCAAACTGTGAGCTCTGCCTAAAGGGGAAAAAATGGAAAAAACCTGATTTATTTATATTAGCTCACTAATCTATTTGTAACTTTTAAAATATAACCTTATGCCTGTAAACACCCCTAATAGATTAAATGTAATTTACATTACATTACTGAATAAGACATCACAGATTTCATGATTAAATAATACATGTTTTTAAGCATTGTGAAAATGTGACAGACTTTCGCAGTGTAATGAAAATGGTATCTTATAGATCATTTTCCTAGAGTGAAATTACATTACACTCACATGAAGTTTTAAAAAATTAATTAAAAAAATGTAACGAAACAGCTAAAGTACCTGGAATTTCATTTCTTCTAATTCCATTATTTTTTTGTTTTAAGAATTCTGAGAATAAAGTTATTATTAAAAACAATACTGATTAACACTTTTTTCATTGCCTATAAGATATCTTTATTTGTAGTACCTAAGACTACATGATAATCACTTTTATCATTGCCTATATCTTTATTGGTAGTACCTAAGACTACGTGATTATCATATGAAATATAAAAACACAAACTATTTACATTTGTTATCATCACTAACAAATATCTGAAATACACACATATCACATTTGCTCTGTGTGCTGAGGAGCACAGATCATAGAAGTGTATGGGGTTCTTTCGTGTGGTGGCTACCGTCAGACCAGCAAATGCATTACGTACTTCAGAAGAAACAACTGAAGTCAGAACTGCCTCTGAATCCAGCTATTATTAACTTCATAGAAATGCAACTTAATATTAAAATGTTGAGATTCAAAGAAAGAACAAAGACCATTTAAATGGAAATATCAAACCCAAAGGGTATACTTTCCAATACTCAGTGAAATATATCGATCTAAGCTTTTGTGCAGTGAAGCAAATTTCAGAATTAATTCACTGAGAGGGAAAATAGGTTTGATATTAAATGATTGTAATCCAGAAAGATTTTAACCACAACTTTCACAGGTTACAATGAGCATTAGCAACACCACTGTGCCATGTATCAGTAGTTTCATATTTGAAAGCCAGCAGTCTAAAAAGAAGGAAAAGTCACTGAAGAAAAAAAGAATTTGAAATAACTGAATGTACCCTATAACCTCAATGATATATTCTTCCCACAAAACAAAGGAGTAAGTTAGATGTTTATAATAAAATACACCTTTATTAACATGTAATAGTTTAGAATTCTCAAAACATCCCTGGGAAACAGAATAAATACATTACTATTGTTATTCCTTCTCCTCTAGTTTTAAAGATAGAGAGGAAAACCCTTGGACATTAACAGGCAAACCAAGCAATTTAGCATACATGTCTCCTCTAAGTACTATCGTTTCTTAAAAATAGTTTACTATTTGGTGTTCCATAAAGACTTCCTATTATTAAAATGTATTCATCAAGTGTTCTTAGTTATACTTTCCTACTTATTTGTTACATAAATTGAAATGTCAAAGAATATTCACAGTAACATCTTGCCCATGGAGGTCTATTTTTCTTTTCAAAGAATTGCAGCTGAAAGCCATTATAAATCTCAAGATACGTTTTATTAATCTCACCCGCAATTCTTTCATTTTATATATTACAGCTACCATAACTGATAAAACTTTCAAATGCATTTACAACAAATAACACTAACTGTGCAACTGAACTATTGATATGGACACATCGCATCCTCCATTCACCAAAGGTGGCTCCCACCACGGAAGAACTCTTCTTCCGGAAAGGGGCTTGCTTTCCAAGAAAAGAACAGTTAACAACTCATCTGCTAATCACCTGGCCTGGGTTGGTTGGATAACTCAGGCATGGAGCTCTCACCTACTCTCTCTAAAATCTTATAAAACATTTACTTTTAGTAAATGTAAACAGGTAAAGCTAGGAAATGCATATCATTTCAAAGAACCAACTGCATTAAAAGTACAAGTAATACTGCCATAAACAATGAGTTGACAAAACTACGTGAATTTGCAAACTGCTCACAAATAAAAACACAAGCCAACATCAACGTTTTGTTAAATTTTTCCATGGAAATTTTCAAGTGGCACTTTGCTCACCAGGAGACAAAGAAATGATGGTGTTTTGCAAGAAGCAATGAGGCAGGGGGTGGAACATTAAGGAGGGCAAGGAAGCCCAGAACATCATATAATTTGCAGCTTCCTGCAGCTTAATTTAAAAGTTATGATGCATTGTAAATAATTATTTTCTGATCATACAAAAATGAAGAGTCCCCATAGCAACAAAAGGTAACAGAAAATTCAGAATGCATAGGGCTTAATTGGCATTAGCTGTTTTCATATATGACAATATGGACTATGATATTTTTTAAAATTCAAAATTTATGTCAATGAAAATGACCAGAAAAAAGAAAAAGAAGTTGGACCAACACTTTTCACCTTAAACCAAAATAAACTTCAAATGGATGAGCATGCTAATAAAAGTACTAAAGATATGAAGAGATTAAAAAAATAAATTCAGAGTAGAAAGTACCTAAAGTATCACACATAGTTCAGAAAAAAACAAACGTAAATGTGACTGCATAAAGCTAAATCATTTCTGCAGAGTGAAATCTACTGCAAAGTCAAAAGCCAATGACAAATTGGGAAAAGTTACTTTCAATTCATATGTGGAAGGGTGATATTCATAAAATAAAAAGAACTCAGAAATAAGCCCTGGTGGTGTGGCTCAGTGGATTGAGTGCTGGCCTGCAAACCAAAGGGTCTCTGGTTCACTTCCCCATCAGGGCACATGCCTGGGTTGAGGGCCAAGTCTCCAGTAAGGGGTGCGCTAGAGGCAACCACAGAATGAATATTCTCTCCCTCTCTTTCTCCCTCCCTTCCCCCTCCCTAAAAATAAATAAATAAGTAAATATTACAAAAAAGGACTCAGAAATCAAAAGAGAAAGATCAACAATGAGCAGAACAATGAACAGAACAATGAGCAAAGGATATATACACAGTTCATACAGAAGGGAATATAATTGGCTTTAAATATAAGTTCAACTTTATCCCAAAATGAGAGAAATGAAATTTAGATAAGACAGAAATAAAGGTTTGACTACATTGTATGGTCCTGATTATGGAAAAAGTTACATCATGTCTCACCAGTAAGAATGAAAATGGGTTCGACATCTACAAAGGGAGATTGGGTGATTTCTACCGACATTTAAAATGCGTGTATCCTATGAGACAGTTTTCAGTTCTGGGAATTCATACTAATTATCCCCCTAGTGCAAAATGCTGTGTGTATTCATTATTTGCAGCACATTTTTAATAGCAAAAGATCAGAAATAACCCAAGTTCCATTAGGGATGTTGCTTTAATAATTGTTAGTACATCCACATAACAGAATACTAAACAAAAAGTGGGTAGCTATTCACAGAATATGGACAAATCTCAAAGATGCATGGTCAAAAGAAAAGCTGGTACAAATCTGTGCAATATGCCTCACTTGCTATAAAAATACGAGTGAAAAAGTACATGAACGCACAGATCTGGAAGAATACACCTGGAATCAGTTACACTGGCTGCCTTCAGGAGGGGAAGGGGAGGGATCTGAGACCGGGAAGGCGGGAAAGCCTCTTCCTCTGCACACCCTGAGTTTGCAACGTGCTAATGCATTGTGAACCAGAAAGTAAATCACATTTAAACTAAAAACAGTAACAAAACCTGTGTCAGCTACCTGAAATATAGACATACCCTACATATACATTAAATGTGTACATTACACACCTACACACAATACACGAATACACACAAGAAGACAAAAGGCAGTGTGATTGTACAGCACTTTAGTTTTTGAAAGGATCTGCCTCCTGCTTTTGAATGGCTCTACTCATTGCAAATCAAAATTCCTTCAAGGGAGACTTAATTTTTACAAATACATTTGTTATTCAGAGACAGGTCCACGAAAGTTCAAGAATATGAACAAGTATTTGGGTCCAACAATATTTTTATTGGACAATGGTTTTATCCCAAGTAATGAGACCTGCGTTTCCATGTGGCTCGTGGTGTCTCCAAAGGCAATCACAGAAGAGGAGCTCGGAAACACTCTCTGAAACAGCTGCCCCACTGGAATACACAAATTACCCGTCAGACTGACTACGTGGAAGGCTGACACTAACTGGGATGCACTGGATCTCATTATTACGTAGTCACACCTGGAAAAACGTTTTCGTGAGCCTCGCTGTTACAGCAAAATAAAGAAATAGCATTCATTGCACACATAATTATATGCTGGAATGAAATGAGAAAATAAAGGAGACTAGAAAGTAGTAGTATCCAACGATAATACTAAAAATCATGAAATAACTGACTAAGCACAGAACCCTTGAAGGTAATTCTTCTGGAGAATTACCCTCACTAGCATCGACTATAAACAAATAACTTCAGAATGAATAATGTGGAACTATATTAAATAGTTAAGAAAAACAAATATGTTATCTGGAATTTGCTTTAAAATAATAGTGAGGGAAAGGTATAGATTAATTGCAACGTGTACTGAGTGTCTGCTATTGAAGTGAGTGGATGAGTACATTTGTCTGTATCTGTTTATCTTGAAATTCTCCATAAGAAACATTAGAAAAATGGGTATGGAAATATATAGTTTTTGAAAATAGTTATATCTTAGGGCTACAAGGATGCTGAGAGTAAGCAGATATATTTCTTCCAGTGGTAGATTTTTAATAGAAAGAATTAATCTGTAAGGTTATATGTTAGCTTATGGTACTTCATAACAACAAGAAAGCCCTACTGATTTTGGAGTGAAGTGGCTACTGGCTGGGAAATGATTTTTTTCTCTGTAAACTATTTATATTGGTATATTTAAGGAAGTAGAGCTACAGCCATTATCCAATTATCTTTAATGTCAAGAGAGCTTGTTTGAAAGGATTACTACATTATAGGTTTGCCTTCAAATTCAACTGACTGTAAAACAACCTACATACATTTAAGTGTTAAATATTATGTGTTTTTTTTTTAACTTGACATTTTTGTGGTAAATATGGTAGGGGAGTAAAATAAATACATACAGACCACAGGCTATATACCAGGTCTGTCTGGGAGAAGTCCAGCTATTGTTAGTATAACAAGAATGGTTTGCACAACAACCATGTAACCTGGCAGCCAAGGAGAGGGGACTGGAATGGGCAGGTGTGAACAATGACGATTTCACTGTACTTGTCAGTGGGGGGTAGTAGACGTCCTTGACTGAGCATGTGTACGGTGTGGCTGTTGCATTAAAAAATGACTGAGTACAGCAACAAATGTGCATCAAATTTTGTGTTAGGCTCGAACTTTCCTCTGCGGAAACTATTCAGATGATTCAGAAGGCCGTAGCTATGGGCAACTGGCAATGGGCAGCTTCATCCTGAAAATGCGCCTGCTCATGCGTCATGTCTGGTGCAGAGTTTTTTGGTGAAACATGAAATCACCCAGGTCACTCAGTCCACTACAGCCCAGATTTAGCACCCTGAGACTTCTGACTTTTCCCAAAACTCAAATCACTTTTGAAAGAGAAGAGATTTCAGACTGTCAATGAGATTTAGAAAAATATGACGGGGTAGCTCATGGTGACTGGGAGGACTGTGTAAGGTCCCAAGGTACCTATGTTGAAGAGGACAGAGGCATCATTGTCATATGTACAATGTTTCTTATATCTTTAAAAATAAATGTCTATTTTCCACAGCACATGGCTGGATACTTTCAGGACAGACCTTGTACATGGAATTCCATGAACTTCATTTGAAAAGTGAAGCTGTTGACAGACAGGAATAACTTTTTGGTTTTGGGTTTATCTAGTCATCACACTCTCTAGTTCAGCTCCGAACTAGCCAGCAGCACAAAGATGCGGTCAGGTGCAGGGAGTGCAGGATTCTACCACGATCACTCTTTGACTTTGGTTTCATTGGCAACATGAACCCAGTTGGATGAGGCTGGGGGGATGCCAGCCTTATGAATGTGCAAAATCGCTTCCCCTGTGCTAACTTCCCTCGAGTCAGTTACATTTCACCTGTTCTTCCTCCCTTAACAAAACAAGAAAGAAACAAAGAAAAAAAATAAAGTGACGAATAGCAAAGATATCTTGACCTCGAAAAGCAGTTACTTTCCAAAGTTGTTGAAAGTCTATGGGACATAATGTGAGCAGCACCTACTTTATAACCAGGTGGAGTGAGGCTTTTACTCTGGCTCCCTTGTTTACTGGTTGTATAGTTTGGGGCAATTTACTTACTAGCTTCTCTGCCTAAATTTCCCCACCATTAGAATAGTCCCTCTGCAGACATGCCAGGAGGATGAAGGAAGAGACACCACAGCTAACATTCTCTGGGAGCTGACTGGGTCCCAACATGATTCTAAGCCCTTTAGAAACAGAACTCAATCTTCACAATCTCCCTCTGATGTCCACATGCTAGCAGATGAGGACAGACAGGGAGAGGGATTGTGCAACTTGTCCGAGGGTACCAGTAGGATCAGGATGTGAACCTGGGTAGCCGGAATTCAGAGTCTGCATCCTTGACCCTGCATGGGACCTGAGACATAGAAGGAGCTCAAAAAGTGTCTGTTCTTTCATCTTTGCAGGCCGATAGGTAACTATTTGAGAGACGGGGAATCCAAGTACGTATTTAAAGTAAAACTTATTTTACTATGAAAGTGGCAAAAGCCTCCCCTAGTGTTTATTTAAAAAATGTTGTTAACATCTAAATTTATATGTAACCGCAAGTGGAAATGCAAAATTTATGAAAAAGCTGGCATTTCCTATTTGGAGTTACCTAGTTTAGAATATCAAATTTTCCAAAAGAATGCTCTACAAAAGGAACTTATTAAACTAGATAAAATAACACCCTCTCTTCCCAACAGTGATACAAGCTATGAAACAACCTTTATCAAAAGTAGGATATTTTCAACGACATCAGTAAACAACTAATAATCTTTAACATTTCCATTGAATCTTAGTAAAAATAGGGTAAAGACAATTTCCTTCTCTTAAGAATAAATGAGTTATCTTAAAAAAATAAATATATTAATTCTTCTATATCAATGGAGAGTGTTTAAAATAGAATTATCTTGATTTTAAAGAAAAGCAACCAATTAAAAGATACAGTCAAATTTTTAACTATATTTTTAAAGGATTAAATAAAAGGGAACATCTACACCATTAAACTGGAGTTATCCACCAATAGTAAGATGCTTTGGCACATTTTTAAAAACACTAATAATTACTCAGTTGTGTGCAGGTGTTCAAATCCATGATACTGCAAGCAATGGGCATAAATGGAAGGACTTAAATCATCACATGAACCAAACAGCCGGCTCTGTCCTTAACCCCCAGGTATACTGAGGTTTACTGCAAACTGTTACAAAATCTCTTCTTTATTGAAATAAAATCAAAGCTGAATAATATTAAATGCTATTGGAAATGTGGCTTAATCATAAAAAATATGTGTAACCTGAAAATGAAAATGTAACCACTTGTAAAGCCACAATGTTTTCTATAGTTACCATCACTGAAAGAACTGTTTCCTGCAGTTTTATTTGCCACAAACTCACAATGAATTATAAAAATATCAAAATGAACTTACACTATTCTAAATGGCAATGTAAATCCACGGAGGAGGCATTTTATTTTATTTTTCATTAAAAAAATTTTTGGATGGAGGATTTTACAGTAAAATAAAAAAAAAACAAAACCAAAGTATTGAAATTAAACCTATGAAATGCCATCTCTAATAATTCTAAAGTAAATTACATTCCAGTTAACTCCAGTTTTTGATAGCATAGTCTGTCATCATCTGTTCTAGACATTTCGATTTCTTAAAAGTTCATTTTCTAGCCCCCAAACAGGTTTAGTAAATTAATGAAAAGAAACACAAAGGAAATTTCCACTGCTTGGGTATGTTTCCAGTAGCGTCTTCTGTAGATTTGCAGAGAATGTGTGTCGTGGCAGAAGGTGGCAATGCTGAGCTAGAAAACACCCCGTTTCCAGTGCTGAAAGTGAAATCTTATGTAGTCCACAGCCCAGGGACCCCAAGTTGATCATTATAGACTTTATTAGAGATACATAAAGTAAAACTCTTGACAAGCCTAACCTTTAAACTAAATGTTTACAAAACGACTAAAGGTTATTCAATGAATTTCAACAACCACCCACTTTACAGCATGCCACCACACCCGATCGGAAAGGTTTTTTCAAGACAGGTGAACTGTGTCTGGCAAAACGATAAAATGCAAACCCTTTTTAAAGGGCTCAGTGAGAGAGAAAGGTCCATGCAGCTTACCATTCCTCAGGAGAGCAGCCATAATCCTCGGGCTCGGGGACATGGCTTCAGGAAGCAAGGAGAGGGGCAGAAAGAGGAAAAAGAATCACAGCAAGGCTGGAAACATCAGAGTGTACATAAGGGAACTACAAAAAGACGGATCTTAAAATCAGTTAAGAACATGGATCTTTAGCTGATTATGAAAGAACAGCAGTTAGTACAGTAAGTAGAATGATGATTTACATAAATCAGCAAGTTTACAAAGTTATTCTATAGCTGGATAGCCAACTCACCTCTTCAACATGAAATTTACTGATTTTATGCACAGAATCCAGTATTCAGTAGGAAACATTTAAACTTAGCAGTTTAACTACAAAGCCAATGGAAAATTTATCACATGCTATATAATCAGAATAAAATGTTTTAATGAAACAAACATGCTACTGCAGAGGAACAAACTATCACACTGTTAAAATGTATTTTAGAAATAAATGTGACTATCACAAGGTTCCTTAAGTGGGCGTATTAAAGTAAATTTAATTGCATTTATATACAGTAAATGGAACCACTCTAAGATGAACTCATTTTCAAAAAGCTTCACTTCAGTTGTAATTCAATTATGAAGCCATTTATTATCTCAGACAGAAAGCACATTCATTAGTACTTCATCTCACCCATTAGCTCACGTGAGCACGTGGCAAGTTTGATTGATGTTCAGCTTTTATTTGAACCGGCCACTCATATATTCAGCCAGATTTTCTTTTAAGAACAGTTTTTTCACTGTTCATTTTCCCCAGTTTTACTGATACATTACTGACATATAACACAGTATTTAAGGTATATGCACAATGTGTTGATTTGACACATTTGTATGTTGCAAAACGATGAGCACCAAAGCATTAGCTAACACCTCCATCTCCTCACATAATTATCTTTTTTTTTTTGTGGTGAAAACATTTAAGATTTACTGTCTTAGCAACGAGAGCAGATTTTCTTATCTCCCATTTCTTTCACTATATATGTCCATTCAATCTTTCTCCTTTAAATTTAATATATTACATATAGGTAATTTTAAAAAAAATACCAAGCTTAGTACAAATGTAAAATCACTGTTATTTCTGACAAATGTACAACAATTAACTTCACTGGAATCCTTTCACTCCCCAAGTGACTGCCCCCCTCTCTCTACCCTTTCAAACTGGCCATGACTTGGCCTCATCCTTGCAAAGCACCATACCATCTTCATGCCAGCCACAATGGAGGCGGTCCCTTCGACTTCCTCTCGATTCTCTCTCTACCAAAGGTCTTTCCTAGAGGCTAGAGAGGCAGGGTTAATCATCCCTTCATGGGCAGGACTCCCAGAACAGGCAGTGGCCTCCTGCAGTGCTTAAGGCAATCAATTCTAATTAACCTCAAGGCTTAGACTTCAGACTGGATGAGGCAGGGGTAGGGGGTGTGCTACCTGAGCAAAAACACTGTGCCAAGGTCCCGCCAAGTTGCACAGGTGCTGAACAGCAACCCCCTGATCTCACACAACTGACTTGCTTCTCAAGTTGGGCAGCTTAAAAACCGAAGAGCTCAAGGTTCAGGGTCCCTCTCCCCCAGTCTGGCCCAGCCCTGGCAGATGCTGAGCATTGTGCAGTGTGATGAGCAGCAGGCTGCCCCACCCCCACCACTGCCCCACCATTGGGCCTGTCTGCAGGAATTTCCCAGCCATCACCACTCCAGCAGAGCTGGTGTGTCTGCACTGCTGCTTGCCTGTCTGCCTTTGTTTGCATGTCAGTGCTGTCACATCTGCCTGGTAAGTTCCTCACTTAGACCCATTCTCAGATCTCAGCTGGAGCGCCACTTTCTCAGGGTACAGTCCCTGGCCTCCCTAATTAGATCAACCCCAATCACAGACTCACATAGACCTTTGTATTGTGTAAGGATTTTATATTTGTCTTTGTGATTACTTAATTAACACCCATTAACGCCCAATTAGATTATCAGCCGTAGGGGGTAGGAATCATGGGAACTTTGGCTGATCATCTATTGCCCCATCATCTAACAAAGTGCTACCTACACAGAATAAGATAACATTCGTTGAGGTAGGTGAATAAGGCAATTCATGGTGTTCACCCAGCTTTTAACACCAGTCATGGTAAGCAGCAAAATAAATTTGTTGGTTTTAACGTAGATTGGGGGCTAATATTAATGTCCTTGTGAGGTTTCCCATGATGCATCTCTTCTTGGTGTTAAAGTAGTCAATCCTTTCAGCAAACATATTGCTAAAGAAAATATTGTCTAGAAATCGAAAACTTATTTAAAAAAATCATGAAGGAGAACTTCCCCAATCTGGCAAAGGAAACAGTCTTCCAGGAAGTCCAGGAAGCTCAGAGAGTCCCAAAGAGGTTGGACCCAAGGAAACACACACCAAGGCACATTGTAATTACATTACCCAAGATGAAAGACAAGGAGACGATCTTAAAAGCAGTAAGAAAAAAGGGGACAGTAACCTGCAAAGGAGTTCCCATGAGACTATCAGCTGATTTCTCAAAAGAAACCTTGCATTAAAGAAGGGGCTGGAAAGTAGTATTCAAAGTCATGAAAGGCAAGGACCTGCATCCAAGATGACTCTATCCAGCAAAGCTATCATTTAGAATGGAAGGGCAGATAAAGTGCTTCTCAGATAAGGTAAAGTTAAAGGAGTTCATCATCACCAAGCCCTTATTATATGAAATAAAGGGATTTATCTAAGAAAAAGAAGATAAAAACTATGAACAGTAAAATGGCAACAAACTCATAAATATCAACTGATCCTAAAAAAACAAAAACAAAAACAAACTAAGCAAACAACTAGAGCAGGAACAGAATCACAGAAGTGGAGATCACGAAGAGGGTTATCAGCAGGGAAAGGGGGGGGTAGAGAATGGGGGCAAAGGTACAGGGAATAAGAAGCATAAATGGTAGGTACAAAATAGAGAGGGGGAGGTTAAGAATAGGATGGGAAATGGAGATGCCAAAGAATTTATATATACGATCCACGGACGTGAACTAAGGCAAGTGGGGAGAATTCTGGTGGGAGGGGGTTGCAGGGTAGAGGAGGATTAAGGGGAGGAAAAATGGGACAACTATAATAGCATAATCAATAAAATATACTAATAAAGAAAATATTGTCAAGTAAAGCCATTCATCTGCTGTACTCATACATAAAGACTGCTTTTAAGAGCATTCATTTTTCACTTAAAGAGAAAATGTCTATGAAATGGTTTTAATACTGATTAAATGACTCCCTGACACAAAAATCCCTGTTTAAGGTTGCTTAATGAAATTTTTTTTAACTTTAGGATTATACACTTTTCAGCCTAGCTTGTCAGCTCATTTGAATAGAACAGTCTAACTTATCTACAAAAATGGTACTGACACTATAGCCTAGAATATTCCCTATATTGAGAATCTGAGCCATTGAACATAAACCTATTCCTGGCATTGAAGTATAAATCTGACTTATTCTCTACAGGAGGCAATTTGCTATAATCTAATTGATTAACAGTAGCTATCTAGTTTGTAAAGGGTTAAAGTTATAAACAACATTATAATTCATTTACATTTTACTAAAAAGATCTAGTACATTTAAGCACGCTGCTGTCTCTGATACAAACTTGATCTCTACAAAATAATCATGGTCTGTGTGTGCAAATCTTTTTATTTCATTGCCGATCTTAAATCCGATGTGGAGGAAAGGTTACCTGAAATGAGAGGAACTTCAGAGTAAATGTTGAAGCGCTGTTTTAAGAGTTAAATATTATCTTCTAACACTAGGCAAAGTTTATATTATCAAGAGACTTGCCTGGTCCTTCAAACTGATGAAAGCCGGAGAACTGACCTTTGACTCTCTAGGGTGAACCAAGGCTTCACCTCACTTGTTAAATGCAGGGGGGAAAAGCATCAGCTCTGAAATTGTCGTCCCAAAGGCATTTGCTAGTATGTGAAAGTGTGTTATTTTCCTTTGTTTTGCCACATCCTGGGGGGATAAACACCATGCTTTCTTCTGCTGGGGCTGGGAGTGCACCTACCTAACAGTCCCCCATATGAAACAAGTGTTAAACACAGCTGTGGGGCAAATGGGTAGGTAAAGCATGTGATTTCCCCCTCTGGACGCCTACAAGCCAAGAGTGCCCGGAGGAAATTCCCACAGAGAGCTGGCTGACAGTAATTACTTTTTCCTGTGGAGTTTGGTAGAATTAAGTAATGGTTTCTCTACAGCTTTGTGTATTAACAACGCTCTACAATGCTGACATTCTGATTGTCCAGCAGAGTGTTTGGAGGGTGTTAATAAAAACTCAGTCACGGTGAAGGGTCCTAAAATCACATACACAGCCAGCACATGATTATTGGAAGCAGTTGAACAACTAGCCTCACTCAACAAGGCGCCTGGAATTTGTGAAAGCATAATACAACACTACGACACCCAAAGGAGAAACACATTTCTGTTGACATAGTTGACATTTGCAAACAAAGCTTAAAATTTGTAAATATGTTAGATATTTATATCTGTGAAAAAACTTTAAAGATCGTATGCTTTTGTAATAATTCCAGAACTGAACTCAGATCGGTGGGGGTCCACCCGGAACAAAGGGATTTAGAAATTTTGTACTTTTCCTGGGATGACCCCTTTGCTGTCTACAGTCCCCACCCACCTGTTCACCTCACCCTTCTTCCTTCCCTTGATATATAAAAGGCATGAATTTTGAGTTCTGTTAGGATTGTTGTGCCCAGAGGGGAAACAAAGGCAGGAGGCGGGATACATGTCCCAGCCACTGACTCAGCAGTCCTTGAAATTCTTTGTATCTTTTCTACTATCTGGGAAAGAAAACTTTTGAAACTGTGCTTTCACCCCAAGGCCTGTAAGGCTGAAAAGGGCCCATAGTGCCTACAGGAAGAAGCCCACTGATACCTTTGGGTGCTCAGGTCCCATCCTGGAAAGCTGGCACCACCTTTACCTGTTAATCAATATGTAACTTCTTCCCCCTCCCCCGTCCAGCCAACTACATAGGTCCTCAGCACAAAGGAGTCTGGGGCTTGGCGCTCTTGGCTCTCCGGCCACTGGGCCAGGCTGCCTGGCCTCAGGCCTGCTGACCTCTGGCTGCTTGTGTGCTTGCCACCCCAGCCCTCATCCCCTGGCCTTTGGTCACCCTTACCATCCTTACCCTGCTTTCACCCTGAACCTGTGCCTTTCACCCTCCCCATCCCCACCTTAGCTAGGCTGCTGCTCTCTTCCAGGAGAACAGATCACCAATAAACCCTGCTTGCATGCTAATAGACTTGCTGATCTTTAATTCTGTAGTGCTGCATTAGTGAGAAGAACTGAGTTTCTGGGAGTTTCTCCTACGACTGGATGGATTTGACAATTAGTTCTATCACCTTCTTTAGCCAGGCCTTCTTGATCAATAAACTCTTCCTTGCCCCAAATCCTGAAAAAAAAATCGTCTGCTCTCCTCATGGTTATTTTAAAAGGTTTGGAATATTTGAAAAGAATTACCCAGAGTCACATGATGAATTAGTGACAAAGCTACAACTAGAACTCATGTTTTATGACTATACCCGGCATTCAGAGAGGTGAGTTTCCGGAGAGGAAATTTGTTTCACTGAAAACTTAATCTGATGACAATTCTTAACTTGAACACTACTTTAATATTCACCAGCCCCAAACCCACTCTACCATAATATAGTTAATGACAACATTGCCAACAGATACAGGAAGGGCACTGTTCTTTAGAACTACCGCACGCAAGTGTTTAGGGACTTGTTCCAAGAATTAAAAAAACACAAAAACAACCCTCTTAAAATGCAGAAGGAAGAGTACCTAGGTATCATTCTAGCTTTTTGTTCTAAGAAGTTCACCATCAATCATTACTAATTTGAAAAACTTGCTTATTCTACCGGAAACTGGAACAAGTTAAAAGGGATGGCGATTATCAAACAGATCACTCTACGAATCACATTTATGAATGAATGAATGAATGCAGAATTTGTGTGAAAACAAACATCACCATAAGTCCACCAGCAAGTATCATACAACAAACTCTAGAACCTCGACAGGCCTTTCGTCCTCTGGTCAGAGGATGCTGTGTGTCCAACACACATACCATGTCCAAAGTGGCCTGTGCCTCTCCTGCTCCAGTGCTGCCTGGACAGCGAGGCCAGCAGCAGTTTCAGGGTTGCAGCGAGGAGAGGCCCTTTTTCTAAGATTATTAGGAGATCTTCACATAAAGAGGAAAAATGCACAATGGCACCCAACCCTAGAAACAGTAAGCAAGCTTGTCAAGGTAACAGCCTGGCTTTACCATGTGAAAAAGCCATTCAACCAAATGTCTTTTTAGCTTAACGGTGTGAAGTCACTTTTAGTCACATTTGCTGCTAAATCACACTTGTCCAAAGAACACGGATATCTGCCTCCACTCTTTGTCTTTGTAGACCCTGTGCGCGGGAGTCGCCATACATACACAGAATTTCTTACCAAATGGTTATTTACTTATGATTTTAACAGAGGCATTTTCGAAACTCAATACACTCATTTTATACTAGCTTGGTGCCTGGAGGCAGAGTGTGAGTGGGCAGAGTGGACACAGAGTGGACACAACCCAAGAGCAAGCATCCTGGCTTCCGTGGTTAAGGGGCTGTGATATTTACCAGTCTCACTTGTGTGGACCAAAGTGGTTGGAAAATCTGATAACAGCACAATTCAAACAACAAAGAGGGTGTTTCACTTTTTGATCATGTCTTTTTAGGAAACGCAGAATTTCTCACTTTACCCTACAAAGTGTCTCAAAAAGAAGACTTCTGAACATTTCAGGCAGGCACACCTGGCCATAAGAAATAAATGAGGGCTCAACGGCACATTCTGAGGGACATTAACACCCTGGTGAAAGTTTTTGATGATACTCATTATGCTCTGGATTTAAGTTTCCCTTCCCTACTTCTTTCACATCATCAGAAATGTAAATTGTTCTGTGTCTCTAAAGAGGAGAGATGATGAAAAAGAAAACATATCAAAGGACTAAGTATCAGAGAAACAACTTTTTAAAATTTGGGCACTTGAGAACTGCCCAAGGACAGGCTCTCTGTCCCCACCACATGGCGCCTGTGCTCTAACTTAACAGAGACACTGAGGGAAGAGCATCTGTTCTAGAGAGAGACCTTCGGTGGTTCCAAACACCGAAACATTGGCAAGCAGCCTGGCCACACAGGTAGTTCCAGATGAAAAACAATGCCTAGATATAAAACACAATACCATGCATCTCTGCTGAAACAACTGCTTTTGGGATTAAAAAGCATTCTCCACTAAAAGCACTCTCAAACTGTACCAAAATGTTAGCTCCAATTAAATGTGTATTACATATTCTATTTAAAGGGAAAACACTTACCCATAAGCAACTCCAGCTATGGTGCACTTCTTAAACTGCATTACATTGCATGTCAGAGTACCCGTTTTGTCAGAAAATATGTATTTTACCTAAAAAAAAAGAGTTTAAAATTTCTCACTAAATTTCAGAATTCTTTTTATGCCAGTCTCTTACATGGGGGGAACTCTTAAATTATCGCTTTTATCAATTTCGTTACAGTGTAGGGCCACAAGGGAATGCTATTAATTGACTTCTGTCTGCACATTAAGGAATATATTCAGCTATAATTTCTCAGTATTTTAGCATTTCATGTATGACCACTGAAGACTATCAAGATATTAGAAAACTATGGTCACATAGAAATCTGCCTTAATAAAGTCTGAATTTCTACAAGAAAGTAACTTTATTGCTCCATAACACTCATAGAGCACTAAAACATCTATCAGCATATTGGGTTGGCCAAAAAGTCTGTTTAGTTTTTTCCATAAAATAAAAGACACATTTTTCATCTTCACCAACATCTTTATTGATCTGGATATTCTGAGTATCAAAATTGATTCTGAATATTGGCTGTCTCCTGCATGGAATAATGTGGATTGTTCTCAAAGTTAATGTCTTGAATTGATCACTATCAACGTCACCTGGGCTGCCCGACTGTGGAGCATTGATCGTCTAGTGAGAAATCTCTGGCACGAAAGTCCCCAAACCGCTTTTGACACGTTTGATCAGTCACATCACCTTCTCCTTACACTGCACACATCTTTTTTTGCATTTCAGTTATGCTTTTACCTTTCTCAAAATAATAAAGCATAACATGCTGACAATGTTGCATATTTTCTTCTATCTTCGATATTAAAATGGCTACACAAAAATCTATAAACTTTGATAAGTTTTTTTTAAATGCATGCTGATATGACAGCTGTCAAATACAACCTAACACAATTGTTTTAAATAAAGTTAAAGACAACTAAGTGCTATTAGAGCCATCTTATGGAAAAAAAACAACTAATTTTTTGGCCAACCCAATCACAATTATAGACAGGCAATGGCTTCTGAAATGAACTTCATATAACATCTGAACTGGTAAGGAAAAGGATAATTCTGGTCTAAATGCTATTTGAAAAATAAGAGTTAGCAAATGGCAATGGTACAAAAAAAAGAATCTTTTCTTAGCCAGTACAGGGTGGAGCAAATGTGGGTTTGCAGTTGTTCACATGGAAAATAATACAATAATTAATAAACAATAATATAAGAATAAAATGTTTTGTGTACTCACATTGTAAACCTACTTTTGCCCTACCCTCTGTGTATAAATGGATTACAAATATACACATTTGTGTGAACACTGTATGAATTATAAATCTAAGTTTCCTGTTTGGTTACTATTACACCTCAATTTACATAACTTCATTGATTGATGTAACTTTTTCTTCCTTTCTGGTTAAAAGCTATGAACGATTTTGAAAGAGAATTTATAACTCGAAAACTGCCAATATTTTGCTACTTGTCAGATTACATACTGAAGAACATCTCTCAGTGCAATACCTTATTTAAGAGCAAAATATGCTTTAAATATTTTTAAAACTTCACCTACTAAAAATTAAAATACATAGTTATGTACTAACATGTATTTATGCTAATTATTCAACCAAGAGAAAACAAGAAGCTGTCAATTCACAGGAAGTTGCCACATATGGCAGAAACGACAATGAGCCCGGCCTCCATGACACCACATCAACGAGAACTTCCGTTTACCTGGCCAAGCTCCTCATTCAGGTTAGATGTTCGAGCCATAGCAGCAGTGTCTGTGGGTTCATAGTGCATGTCGAGATCCTTTTTAAAAATAAAATAAGATAGATCATTGAATGCAGCTGGTGATATAAGATAGAGTGAAATTTTATTTTAACTGATAAGTTATGTAATAATCATTCTCATCTCTTGCCACCCCTGTACCATTTCGGCTGATTCCCCCGAGCAGTACCCAACACAGAATGTTCTGTTCCACAGCAGGGGCAGAACAGCGTGGTAGTTAGAGCGTGCCTTTGGAATTCAGCGATCTTGGTTTACTAGCATCCCATCATTTCCTAGATACTGAAATAACTGTGGCGATTACATAAAATAACGTATTTCCTATGGTGTCTGACACAATGCAAGTGCTTCCTGTGAGCTAAAATAACAGCAACTAAACATGGATAAAGTAATTACAACTTCACATCCCTGGGAAAATGACCTAAAATATTTTATCTGGTTGAACTTTCTTGGCCAACTTCCTTACACTGTATACACCTGAAAGTACAATGAGTACATTCTCAAAACCCAAAGAAAAATGTATAGTTTTCATACCAATTTGTACTTATTTTACACCTAGAATTATGACTATTAACCTTACAAAAATTAATATTTTCTATAGTGGAACACTTTGCTGACAAGTCAGAGTTGACTGATGTTCACATGTCAGATGAAAAGGCCAAATCTGGTCTCTCCATTGCTGCACTGCAGACTGCTCAGCATCGCTTCTGGACCAGGTTGTTGAGCTGTAGGTGCCGTGTTTTAAGAGGAAAACTAAACAACTGGGCAATGTTCAGAGAACAGTGACTAGAATGGGGATTAGGTGGGAAATCGTGTCAAACGAAGAACAGAAGGAGATGGAGGACATTTAGCTAGGAGGGGGGATATGATAGCAGAATTAGCATGGTAGTCAAGTTCAAATGTTTTACAAGGCTAGTGTTTGGAAACAAGATTAGACAATGTTCTTAAAGGATCTACTGGGCAGAACCAGAATGAAAGGGGGCAGTTACTTATCATTCTTCCACACAAAGAATAAGCTGCCTGGTAAGGGAAGAGCTCTTCCGTCAGGAATGTTATGAAACCTCTGTACATTAGAAAGGTGGTTGGAAGGCCTGCTGGGTTCACTCAGCACTAAAGTTATGTAATTATTTCAAGCAAATATTATTTTTGGAAATCCACATAAAAAATAAAGTGATTGACTATTTGGTTTTCACAATGAGTTATATTATTATTTCTTTTTTTTTTTTAGTCTTTTTTTTAAAGATTTTATTTATTTATTTTTAGAGAGGGAAGGGAGGGAGAGAGAGAGAGAGAGAGAAACATCAATGTGCGGTTGCTGGGGGTCATGGCCTGCAACCCAGGCATGTACCCTGACTGGGAATCGAACCTGCGACACTTTGGTTCGCAGCCTGTGCTCAATCCACTGAGCTACACCAGCAGGGCTTATTATTTCTTATTGTAAGTGGGAAACCTTCAATAACTTTTAATTGTATTTATATGAATTTTATTACACAGTTTTTCAATAACGTATTCCCTGCATTAAATGAGCTACGCTTGCAGCTCATTTTAGATTTCTGAATTATACTGATCTTTTACCCATGAATTAAGGGATTGGCAGTGGAGATGGATAATTTACCATGAGAAGATAATAAGCAGTTACTGAAGTATCATCAATTATAGTTTCAAAAATCCTAATATTGTTCTTAGTAAAAAACTTTGAAGTGATTTAAAAAGAAACATCGAAAGATAATACCAAAATTTCTCAAAATAAAAGCAAAATTAAACTGTCAGGCAGATCAGGCCTAGTGATTTATTAATTTACATGAATTTATTAATTTTAACTTTGGTAACAATAAACCTGAGAAAGAGCAACATATTTTATAAACAAAACATTTAGAAAACAGATGTCTAGCACATTTTTCCAAGAATCAAATAAAATATTTAAGGAAAAAAAGAGGAAAAATTCAAGCACAGCTGAAGTTGTTTATAGTGTGGTAAAATAAACTACATAGATGTATAAAATATGACGGACACTCTGGTTGTTACAAGTAGTGAATACAGTATTATTTTTATGGTGCTCGAGTGTTTATGAAGCTGTCCGCTATGTTGTGAAACTCCTTTGATGTATGTAACCACTGGGACATACAGGCAAACCACGTTTATCATCGCTATGTGAGTGTCCAAGAAAATACGTCTCAAAGAAGTCGAGTGGCTCGCCAAAGTTCACACAGCTAGTAAATTACAGAACTAGAGCTACAAGCCAGGTATTTTTAACTCCAAACCCCATGGTTCTCCTTTTCCCCAGGACCACAGTGTAACTCAAAATAGGTTTCCTGAACTAGAGACCTATTTTCTCTAGATGTCTGGTCTGTAGACGTGTATGGTGTTGTGATGAGAGACTCTGTTACTGATTTTCACATGTCAAGTGAGTTTATTAGAATTATATTAGGCTCAAAACTATTTTGAAATATTATCCTGTACTCAATAAAAGATAAGGTACAATCAAAATTTTTTTCCTTTGAGTGATCAGAAGACCCTATCAGAAAAAAATACATGTTTAGAGTGATAAAAACAATAATAATTTATATTTACCCAATTTATGAAGTATGCCTGAGTAAATTTCACCACTTCCAATGTAACCAACAAGCTGATAGGAATGAGATTATTGAAAAGGATGATGAAGGTCAAGAAATTCAGCCCAAAATTATTAGCGCCACCATCTATTGGGGAAGATGGGAGGAAAAACATTTATAGTTTTATATATTTTATTTTGCATTGACCAGAACTTTGTGCATAACAAATTTTTTTTTCATATTATATATCATATCATCGATAGTTTGGGAGGAAGACTGTGTTGATAACATATCCTTACTCTCAAATACATTCTTCGAGATGCAATAGCATTATTTGTATTCAATATGGTATAATCCTATTAAGAACTGCATAATGGTACCAAAAAGTGAAAGTACTGTTAACTATTTCAAATTCTGTTCCAGACACAAAGTTTAGATATCGTAGAGACAGGACTAAGAGGTTATAAATGAAAAATCTTATCTGGATAGAATCACTTTTATGTAAGTTCTTAAAAAGCACCTCTAATTTAAAGCATGCCTTGAAAACAAGCATACAAAACAGTTCCAGGAAAACTAACTCAACAGCAAAGACAACAGAGGGCTAGACCCTAGGTAAACCCAGCCCCAGGTAAACCATACTCTCCTCCCTCTTCAGTCATGACAATCAAGCAGTTGGCCCAGACATCACGTAAAGTATGTGACGAAACAAATTGACGGTTGTTGTAATAGTTCTGAAGTTGAAAGAGTAAATCAATGACTGTTAAAAAACAAAACTTGGAATAGCTGCAAAGCCAAACCAGTATAACAAAAAACACGTAAAAAATCAATTTGGCCGTAAGATTTTACTAGAATTTGTCTTTACACTTTTGAAAATTAAGTCTTTTATTGGTGAAGGACTCATCAAAAGGCCATGCACCCTTACTTCCCAGAAGTATTCAGGGGCGGTACATTAACCCCACAGCAGTGAAAGGGCACATGCTCCAAAAGGAAACCCTTTCATAGAACATGCCTCAGACAAGGTGGCCATCAACACAGAATTCACCGCATTCATGAGTTCAAATGAAAGCACATTCAATTTAAACATTTTAAAAATATGGAAACTACTTTTGGCAGTTTAAATATGCTCAATCTGCTTTCTTTACCAGACAGTTATCTAACTTCCTGCATTCAGATATTAAAATATTTTTAAACAAATGAATAGCATTGGTTAAAATAACATTAATAAACTAATATTTTATAATATTATGAAGTACTCATTATAGTTTTAAGGATTCTGAAATTAATTAATTAAGATGAGAGAGACAGAGAGAGAAGGGAAGAGAGAGTGGGAGAAACACTGATGTGAGAGAAATATTGATTGGCTGCCTCCCACCCCTGCCCCAACTGGGAACTACATGCACAACCCAGGTATGTGCCCTGACTGGGAATCGAACCCACAGCCTTCTGGTGCACAGGATGATGCTCCAACAAACTGAGCCACAATGGCTGGGTGGATTCTGAAATTTTTAGAGATTCCACATTTTACTTACTTTTACTGGAAACTGCATTGAAAATTAAAGCCTAAATGCCTAGTTATCTTGGCAAAAATGTTTTCTTTTACAAGTAATAGGAAATTCCAAGAGCAGCTGTGAAACAAATATTAGTTTTAATGAAAGAAAAATGTCAATAAGCCCCTGAATACTTACAATTTAGATTGAGGTACCAGTCCCTTCCAGAATGCCTGCGATTCCAAATGGCTGAGCCCACAGAACAGACAAGGGACATGGCAATTAAGATACAAAATAAAATCAAAATCTGTACATTTGTAATTCGTTCCACATTTGAGAGTTTAAGTGGTGGACTTGTTGAATTCTGTAAAAAGAAAAAAGATGAGTAATAGGAAACGTGTACAGTGACTTAGTAATAGGTATCTAGTATATTGATGAGTATGACAAAGTCCTCATCAAACTCAAAATCTAGACGGGAGTAGACATCTGAAAATTATGCAGACAGCAATCACAGATGTAATATAAGCTGTCAAAGGTTAACTAACTGCCTCTTTTTCTAAGGACCACCATGTCACCTAAGCCTTTCTCTAGGATGTCAAACAGTATTAAGAGAAACAAATAACATTCCTTTTGTAAACATAGCTTTGGCATTGTGGAAGGCAAGACGAACACTGTATACTGGACTATTTCACTAAACTGGGTAACTAGAAGCACCCGGCTTGCATCTCTGCTTAGGAAGAGAGGCAGGGAAGGTAGCCTGTGAACCCACAGCCTGGACATTCCAAAGTACGAAGGCAGCATTTTAAAGGACTCCTGTGTTCCAGATTTTCGGTGGCATTTAGTAATTGTTTTTACTGAACACAGCAGCCATGTAAGCTATCCTGGCTATAAAGAGTAACAGAGACAAGTTTCCTCAGATACATTTAATGATAAAAAATGACTATGCTGGATTTTTGCTAACCATGGCATCCACAGGACACAAAATTAAATCTGTCATAATCGATATAGAATACAGAGTCAATATAGAATTTACAGAATGATTAGGGGTGGGATCACTAATAGCAGTTCTGCTTGCCTACTGATTATATCATCATGCCTTTACGATATACAAAGTTATCGATCAGCCCTGAGAGCAGATTTTCACGTCATATCATAAAACTGACATTCCCATACCCATGTAAACACCGAATACTGATGACACTATACTGTGGAGAAGAAGCAACCACAGACATGTGTAAACACTGCAAGTGGCTAGGATTAAGGTTGATTACAAATGGCCTAACATGGAAATGCTGTGAAGCAATGGCTTCAACATTTACTTTACAAGTTTTTCTCTGAATTTTACAAAGAAAGTGAAAGTAAGTTCTAACATTTGATCATTCATATTAAAATAAAATGATAAGACAAATGTTTTAATGCAGAGCACTCATCATCACCGAGACGAAGTGTGTCTATCACTGCAATGGTTAGTAGATGCCACCGACAGACCGATAGAGTGCGTGCGCTGGGTGATCTCTGCTGAAACACTCCCATGCTCGGGCCACAGCGAACTCACCAGAGAACGAGATTCTGGATGTACAGAGTGGGGCTCGGGTGTGTGTAATGGATGGTCCACTACGTTTGGGACCACTGAACCGAATGCTAACAAATGGCACATTTTCAAAAGCTTTAAGTCTAAGAGGTTTTCATAGATAAAAATCTCACCTGCATCAGCTTGGTGTCGTGCCCAGTGTAGACGACGATTCCAATCACCCACTGTGTGTTCCTCAGCTGAGCACCCCGAAGGAGAATCTGATCCGCTCCCAGGGGGACCGTGCTATGGCAGACAATGTTGACATCAGAAATGGAATTTTCTAAAATGCTTAAGAATTCTACAGCCACTATGTAGTTCCAAAAAAGACTCTGTTATTTTAAAAACCCTTCTCACATTTATTGCATTTTTAGAAAAGTCATTTTTCCACCAATAGGGACAGTTTTCTTACACAAGAACAGCTGGAGCACAGCGTTTCAGTTGCTTCTCCTCAAACGTCTAACCAGCCACTTCCTACAATTTCACAATCCAAAATAGTAGGCAATGTTTTGGAATTCAGAGGCTAATTTTCAAATCTTATTTAGGGCTTTTCTTGATTTAGTTAAGTCCATTTAGGATTCTGAGATGTTTGGGAGTGGTGAGGAGAGGAAAACGGTCTCTCTCTCCACCTTCCTTTAAATTAAAAATAGCTTTGTGCATAATAAAGGTTCCAAGAACACACAACGTTAAGATAAATACATAGATCTCATCACATACTTGCACTGGCATCTCTCTCCTTCAGAGATAAGTCACTGTATCTAAAATCTCTAGGACATTAATTTTATTGTATTTGAAGATGGGTTCTCCAAGAACTGTGAATATATTTTCCATAAATGGTAAGTAGCTAACAAGTCTTAAACCCTTCAATGAAATGACAGCAAATCGAGGCTATCGATTCCATGTAATCTAAACCATGTTTTTCATGAATACTGGGTCTTCTGTGGGTTTCTTACAGGGCAATCCACCAGGGTGCGTTGCTGGTTGATATGAACTAACTCAGATGTACCAGAAGGGTAGCTATAACAGATATAGTGGGATTCTTGATGGAAATGTACTATCCAAAATTTAATGGCTCAAGGATTCTTATCACCAAGTTTTTGTTTCAGTAAGAAAAAAGCAAAAAAAGAAATGTCAAATATGAACACACACATTAAAAAAAACTTCTGGAAAAAGAGGGACAGAAGCACCCAAGAAAAGTCTTCAGACAACACAACCCTCCATCTGTGGAGAGGAGTGAGACTGCAGCTTCCATTGCTGGAGGGCTGCTATGGCACAGGGGCATCCAGGGCTAGCAGCTGCCTGGGCCTTGGCCCTTCTCTCAGGAAATACACTAAGGTCACTGGTTCTGGTGAGGTCAATCCAGACAGGTGGGTGATAGCTACACCTGAAGTTTTCCATTTAAAGGAATAAACCCTTAAGAAACAGTGTATTGTAATTTCCAAAAAGAACACAGCAACTCTAACTCTCATTCTTTATAGACAAACTCGTGACTTTCAGACCCAACTGGAAGGGAAACCCTCCTGTGTTTGTCTCAAGATTTGGGGTGCACTTCAGAGATGGGGGGCTTCAGGACTATAGCAGGTTTCCAAGAAGTTCTTAGGAAACTACTGGACAATGGTCCCCAACCTTTTTGGCACCAGGGATCGGTGCCATGGAAGACAATTTTTCCATGGATTGGGTTGGGAAGGATAGTTTTGGGATGATCCAAGAGCATTACATTTACTGTGCACTTTATTTCTGTTATTATTACACCAAAGCTGTGACTGAGACAAGTGACCAGTGAGGGAAGGAGGCATAGATGGAAGTGTTAAATAAAATAATGGATGGGCCACGCATGGACTGAAATAAATGTTGGATTCTAACTGAAAGCCTGCCATCAGATGCAGCTTAATTGTCACTTGCCACTCACTGAAAGAGTTTTGACGTGAGTCTGAAAGCAATTGATTTATTATGGTCTCTGTGCAGTCAAACCTCTCTGCTAATGACAATCTATATTTGAGCCACTCCCCAGGGCTGGCATCACCACCTCAGCTCCAACTCAGACCATCAGGCATTAGATTCTCATAAATGCATGCACCCTGGATCCCTTGCATACACAGTTCACAGTAGGGTCTGCATTCCTATGAGAATGTAATGTCTCTGCTGCTGATCTGACAGGAGGCAGAGCTCAGGCAGTAATGCAAATAAGAGGGAGCGGCTCTGAAAACAGAAGCTTCGTTTGCTTGCCACTGCTCACCTGTTGTGCAGCCTGGTTCCCAACAGGCCAGCGACCAGTACTTGGGGGTTGGGGACCCTTGGTCTAGACCACCTATGGGCCAACTGTCCCTCACATATCCAATTGGGTATGATGCAGCCACTGTCACCTTATCATTTGTAGTGTAGATTGATTGGAATTAGATATAAACACTTCAAAAGCAAAAAAAAAAAAAATACTACGTTGCAATTACAGGTCCTAATGAGCTTTTAGTAGAGTTGGAATTTCAAAGAAAATATGTGCTTTTATAAAGGCCAATTTTACATACCCATGTCCATCAAGCCTTATGTTTCCAACAAAATCGTAGAGATGTCTGTTTGGACTTTCACACTCGACTCTGCCAGAAATTCTCATCAAATTGTCAATGTCTTTTATATCCGACGTTACTGGTAAGCCCTGTTCAGAAATTGATACATACATAAAGACTATATTAAATATATTGCATGGGAAGGGGAGTTCTGAATCCGTCCAGGTCTATGATCTAAGAGATCCTCTTATTTTATAAGCAACTCTCCTCCTTACACAACAAATACCCTTTTTGTTAAACCATAATTAAGGGTTACCTGCTCTCCACTGGAACACAGGTTTTTAACTCAAGAATAGTGCAACTATTAGAAAGTTCTAAAATATATTCAAGAGACTATACACTAGTCTAAAAAGATATTTTAAAATAAGTTCTTAAAAAACTGCTTCCAAAAATAAGTACAGTGTGAATCTGTCTGCTGAATCTCAGAAAGTGGATAAAAAAATGAATAAGTCCTATCTCCAAAGAGAATAGTTTGTTCCTTCAGTTCACTGAGAAGGAAAACTCCACACAGTTCTTCCGTCTGGCCAACCAGGACTGTCTGGCACGGAACAGGCCCCTGCTTGCTGCGACGCTCTGCATTCAGGCGCTCTGTGACGGCCTGTTTTCCTTCCCTCCCAACCTCCCACATGTTGTTCTCACCGTTTACCTGGAACCCAAGAGAACGCAGCAGTGTGCTGCTTAGCAGTGTTCCCACCAACAACTGATGATGGATATGACAGTGGTTCCATAAGACTGTCATGCGCTGAAAAACTCCTACGGCCCACCGACATCGTGGCTGTCTTACCATCAGGGTGCAAGGCATAACTGACGTGTTTGAGGTGATGCTGGTACAAACAAACCTATTGGGCTGCCAGCCGCATACAGTACACATATGGCAGTACATAATACTTGGTAATGAGTATGTTACTGGTTTATGTATTCACTACACTTCTTATTATTATTTAGAGTGTACTGTTTCTACTTGCACAAAAGTTTGCCGTGAAACTGTATGCTGTGTTACTCTGGCAGCAGCCTCGTACACTCAGTGTTTACCTCTCTTGCCTGCATCACTTACTCTGGTGCTTGATTTAATCCTGTGTTCTTTCATACAGTACCGTGCTGCACGGGAGTCAGAGGCTATACCACACAGTCTAGGTATGCAGTGGGCACCATGTGGGTTCGTGTGAGTGCACTCCATGATGTTTGTGCTGCAACGAAATTGCCATGGACACGTTCCTCAGAACTCTCCCTGTCTTTAAGTGATGCATGACTGTACAGTTTTTAAAGGCCTTTTTAAAACTTTAAAAGTAAAAACCTCACAGTCGCTTTCTGTTAGGGATGGTATGAGAAGTAAGTATAGAAATCTAATCTTTTCCCAGAGACCAGTGAGACATTTAGCATGTCAATGGAAACTATGGCAAAGCCAACTCATTTGGGCCAGGCGAATAGGAAAAATAAATAAGCTAACACATGTCAAAGCACTTACAATTACTGCTATTATTATTATCATCAGAGTGCTGCCTATGCATAAAATATTAAAAATATCACAAATAGTATCTATACAAATGGGACCATATTTAATCAGGCAAATACCGTAAATCTAAGTGCTCCATTATACACAATGATACTAATTTATAAAACCTCTTCATAGTGGCTAAATGAGAAAATATCTTCAATTGGACAGAATTACTTCAACTCAAGACAGAAGAAATAAAGCTATTGATTCCATGTAATAAAAAACAGCAACAATGACATAAACCTGCATGAGATCTTACCTGCCTAATTTTCAGGTTTGTTTCACCATCTAAGTTGGATGTTTCAATGTAGCACATGGCCTGGGGCTCACTGTTGTTTAAAATTCAAAAGCAAGATGATTTAATGGGGGTAGGAAAGCATAATAATAACTTAGTCAATGCTCAGACTCGCTGAAGCCTTTTGGTCTAAACGAGCTTTAGTTGCCTAGTTTCCTGACAGTTTTCAGTCTAAGTGCAAACCGCTGTGCAGTGGAGCCCATGCATGCCAATTAACGGGTCAGCATTTCAGCCAGAAGGACCCTAAAGCAAGTTCCTGGCAACAGCCAGGATAGATCTTCAGGATATAGTAAATGATTAAATTTGTTGCATTAGACTTAAATTGTTCCTCCATATAGACACAACAGACTGTATCTGAAATACAAAGCCGTTTCGTGTCCAGACTGATCTCCAGCTCAAAAATAGCAATGAGACTTCATGCTCATAGACATGTAAATAGGTTAAGGAGGGCGGTTGGTTAGAGAATTCCAGATTGCTGCTTCCAAAAACTTGCATTCACTATTCCCTTTTAGAAAAGATGAATAGGATCACAGGAACCAAAATATTTAAGTAGAAGGCTACTTTTAGAAACTGTATGAACAGATTTTGCAGTGAAAGTTGATACACGCTTTTCTCCCCCTAGCTCTTCTGCTCCTATTCTATTTCTTAAAGTTGTTTTAGAGACTTTTGTGACAGCAAAAGCTAAAACTAAAACCAGCCAACTTGGCTGTATTGCTCTTTTACCTGAACCTAGACTATCCCCTTTACAGGTCCCCAGTGGAGATGTTTTAGTGGAGATTCGTGTGCAGTGGCTGGTGGACGGGTTCCATGTTCTCCAGTCCCTTCCATAGGCACCAGGCCCTGGACCATCTATAACCTCCCCTTCGTATGTGAACTTTACTTGTGTAACAGTGAGAGACAGGGGAGTGTGCTGTCCCACTGGATAAGCTAATCCAAGAAGCATTCTGAAGCTAAATCCATCTCGTTAGCACTTGGTTATATAAGTGTAATTAGCACACGTCATGTAAGTAACTGTGAATGTAATCTCTGATCAGCATGTGTGTTCAAAGTTTTGGGAAGACATTTGTAAGTTACAAACACCTGGAATTTTCTAATCAACTTCCAATCTGTGTATGAGCAAAACAGACTATTCTGAGTTTCAGATACGGGCACGTAGCTTAGTTTTGTGCCCTGAAGATTTGTGAAAATTATTAAACCACCTGGTCATAAAATATATCACAGATTCCTTTTAAATAACTTTGCATGTTCTCCAATTTACTCTGTGGGCTTTTTTTTCAATCCCATAAAAGCTGATACTTTTTCCCAGCTGGAGGTTTTCAATATTTATATTCTCACCCTATCAATTATTCAAAGTTTTATTTTTTATTACTGTCACAACAGTAATGTGGCTCTGGCAATTGCTCCCAATTTACAATTTACTTATGTATATATTTGAGACATAAATGGTTTACAGATTAATAAGGCATATCTTCTGATAACATAGAAGTATGATGGCAAACAAATGCTAAATGAACAATGTCGATTCCATATTTTGGCAGTAAAATGCATTAAAGCGTTACTTTACATATCCAAAGCCATTCTCACATTAAAATGAGAATAACATTCTATTTGTACATTTTTTTCATAAAGCAACTTTTTTTAGGACTTTAAATGGCTAGGAAATTAGACAGTTAAATGGCTGATTTCTACTTGAAATGGGGCAAATAAAATATGCATCTAAATTCAGAACATACTTAGTCCCTTGAGACAGCTGTTACTGAAGCAGCTCTTAACAGCGCTATGAAAAGGCAGCAAGATGTCTCAGATAAGGAATCATGCTAGATAATAAATATTTCAGCAAATTATGATGACACCCAAAACACAAATTACAGTCAGAGAAGCAAAGCAGGCTTTGGGGTTAGTAAGTGGAGAAACGAAACAAGATGCATGTCACAGTCCAGACGCTAGCAGACAGGGGACGTTTACCACGGGAACGTGCACTCTGTCACCAGTTACATGGGGGACAAAAACGGATGGCGAAGCATGCGGTGCAAGATGCGCAACAGCGAGCTTTGTGCAGGGGGTCCTCCATAAACCCTAGACAAGCCCAAATGACAGTCAGGATTGCAGAAGGGGTTCTCTAGAACTTAGAGCAGATGTCAAATATAGGAATAAGACAAACGTTTAAAATCTTCAACATTTCTCAATGACTTTGTTTCATGGAAAGCTGATTAACATCGTTCAAAATAACATTCCAGAGCGATGTTAAATTAAGCCTTGGTATTTAGGCATGTTGTTAAATATGAATGTATATTAATGATGCCCAGGAAATTGAAGTCGACCTTTATGGGCATGCCTCATGGGCTCCTGTTGATACAACAGGAGCGGAATCTGCCCACTTGAGGGCTGGACATCATCCAACACTGAGTTTGTCAGAGGCCTTTAGAACATCGGTGAATGTCCATTACCAAGGAGTATACAAAAGTTTGCACTTTAAAGGAAGAGACGTAGAGCTCAACCATCTTTGGGTGTAACTGTTCTCTGGTGTAGGGTGAGGATCCACACACACACATCCTGCACGACTCGGGTCTAACCTGGAGGACACGCTGATGAGATCTGCTGGGAGGTGTTCCCCATTGGTCACTTTCACTATTTCCCCTACTGCCACCTACAGGTCCCAGTTTCAAATAATTAAAATGGGGGAAAAAATGAATAACAGAAGAAAAACAAACAAACAAACAAACAAATGGACAAAGGAGACAGAAAGTTTGAAATTGTTATAGAAAATAATACATGTTAATAAAAATGTCTAATGCCGATTTTTTCAAAATGTATTTTGATCAGGTCTCAAGGCGCAAGAAAACATGTGACATTTAAGGATTACAAACTTGTTTTTAAGCTCAATTGTCAACTTTTAATGTACAAATTTTTGATTTTTTAAAAGTTTGATCACAGCACATCTTATCATATAAATAAAAAGATATTTTTATAGAGAGCTACTTTATCTGTAAGATTTTCCTCTCTAATTCCTCATTCTCATGCCATCTGTTCTGTGTGCACTGCTTGTCTGGAAGAAAAGAAATAATTGTAGAAACTACTTTTTAGGAAACTGCTTTTGAAAAACAAAGTATACTATACTAACTTTTCCTCTACATATACTCTAAAAAATAACATTTAAAATTTTGATTCCAAAAATTTAATTGCATAAATGTGAACTTTAATGCAGGCTGCACAGACATTGATTTTAGAACGTCAGAAGGCATAATTGTAGCCTTTTGAGTTATTTAATAATTAATCGTCTAGGTAATACATTACTTTGGGACGGTAATCCTTTGAATCTGGGAGAATTTTTCAAAGGCATAAAGCAGACATGCTAAGAACCTGCTTGGATTTGAATTATAGTTATTTTACTCTATTTTATACTTTCTAAACTTATGTATCTATTTGTTAGGTGATAAAATTTGTTTCATTTTAAAATGAAAATCAACAAAACACAGTAACTTTCAACCACGTTCATGCTTTAATTTCAAACTACCTCAGAAAGATGTACTATTAGTAATCAATAATTTCAAAACATTTAGGAATTAAAATATAATAAGCTGTTTACTGCTACTGCTAACTTTTGGTAACTGCAGGTGAAAATCACCATGTACTTACTTTGATAGCAATGAGTAAGGTCTAATGAAGATATTAGGTTAGGAATTAAGTATTCTAACTTTAACCTAGTCATTAAAGTGGCTAAAAAAAAAGACTTAAAGTCAAAATTCCTCTTTCTGTAAAATTATGACAAAACTTCACTTACTTCTTAAGTCTAATGTAGATTCAAAAGAGCCAAATAATGCAAAAACCCTTTATAGGAAAAAAAGAAAAGAAAAAATGGAAAGGTGGTATTTTGCCTCTTGGACAAAGATATCTTTCTAACAGCATAAACGTTTACACTTTATTTTGAATCCTACTAAATTACCAGAAAGCAAGGAGTCTGGTAACCTTTTTAAAAGTAAAAATCACTGGAGGACATTCATCACTGTGAATGGGCTATTAAGATACAGAAACGAGGGTGGCTCCGTGGCACAATGGATGGCGCACTGGACTTCTAAGATACAGAAACTATTTCGACTTACCAATATTGGCAGCCACCAGTGAATGTTTCTAGTGTTTAGAAAATAAATCCTGTAAAAATGCTCTAAAGTTGAAGAAATACAAACACAGAGCTTTATGGAAGTTTCTGGGATTGCACAGAGGCAGATGAAAAATATTTTGACAACTTTTAACTTAGAAATAAGTACCAATTTAGGGCAGTATAGCCAGTTCCCTTCCTATTTTTGAATATGCAAAATTTAAATATTGTAATTAATGGTTCAGCATCTATGCTTCTCTCTAAGATAATGGCTCTATGATATGTTTAATCAGGAAAACATCAATATTTTCTTCAATTGCTGGAATGTTTTACTATCATTTTGAACTTAATTATACAAACATGACATTCCCATGGTCAATCATCCATTATATTTCTCAGATTTTTACTGAGCACATTCTTCTGTTGGTTAGACAGGCTTAAAACTTAATGAACAACAATTAAAATTAAAAAATTAATGAAATACTATTAATTTAAACAAAAAAGAATCAAAGAATATGAGAGTTTGCTCAAGTCATCAATTTTCCTCATTTTAAAAGATATGAAATCAAGTCCTGAGAGATTAAGATTTTGTTCAAAGTCACCAGGCCAAGGAAAGAAACCTGGTTTCCTGCTTCGAGAGCAATGAGGTCTTTAATGCTTGTGCTACGTACCACCTGATACAAGGACAATGAACTCACTGTTAAACTCATTCCCACTCTGCTGTGTGTGAAGTCTTTACCTCAGATGTAGAAACCTACCCTGACAAAACCATAAATAAAAGAAACTACATAAATGTTGAATTAAAAACCTCATAATTTTGCCCTGGCTGGTGTAGCTCAGTGGATTGAGTGCTGGTCTGTGAACCAAAGGGTCATGGATTCGATTCCCAGTCAGGGCACATGCCTGGGTTGCAGGCCGGGTCCCTGGTGGGGGACGCATGAGAGGCAGCCACACATTGATGTTTCGCTCCCTCTTTCTTTTTCCTTTCCTCTCTCTCTAAAAATAAACAAAATTTTAAAAAACCCTCATAATTTCAATTTTTCTGAAAACAAACCTATAAATAAATGGCATAAAGAGCTCTCAGCTACAAATATGTAAATATAACTACCTATAGTTACCTTCAACTACTTATAGACTTACTTCTATAAGTATCTGGAAAACACTTGCTCATTTAAATTTCACCAATTTGTCATATTTCCAATCATTTTTAATAATGACCTGATTAAACAGATTTTGAAAAAAGGACAATGTCCATATTTATATGTGATTTTACAAATAAAACTGTCCAAGGAAATGATGATAAACAACCTCTAAAACATTAAAAGCATTTTTTCTTGTTTTATATTAAGACTAGTTTTATAGTTTTTAAACCTAAAATCACTTGAAAGTCACATTCTTTAAATGGTAACAGTGCCATATGTTCTGAATACCAATTCAAGACTATCTTAAATATGAGTTAAACAAAAATTATCTAAATTCAGTAATGGAAAGAACTTTAAAAAAGCAAAATAGTTTAATTTTTTTTGTTGGAAGAGTATGACATTTCAAAAGATCTCATGACAAAAAAAAAGAAATTGTTCATTTTCTTGTACCAACACACCACAGAGATCAAAAAACTCTGAAGGGATATACAAATACATCATAAAGGAATTTGTCATGAACAAGGACTGCACCGTTAGATCAGCAGAACCCAATCCACGTATCATATAAAATAAATGACAGGGAATCACTCAAGAATTAGTGGTCCATCCAAAAGGATCTGGAGACATCCAGATGGAAAGGGGACTCTTAACTATAATGATAACTTTTGAATTATAGAATATAGTACCTATCATTTATTTTATATGGCAAACATGAAAAAGTCCTTTAATCCAATCAGTTTTTTTTAATGCCTGATTCAAAATCAACAGAGAGGCTTAAAAGTCTTCGTTTATTCCTTATTTCCTTGGAGAAATCACAAGGTCAATGCAGGGTAGAGAAACCATCCTCTACACTGTTTGAGCATCAGTAGGTATCTCTACCTTGATGAGAGAAGTACAGTGTCAGCAGGTATATACTCTTTGCCTTTTATTATAACTATATCTCCAACATTTACCTGAAAGAAAACTGGGAATTGGTTAATTAACTGCATTGAAAGATAGGTACAAATACACAACCCATTGTATTTAAATATTGGATACAGTAAAAATGGTTATTGGCAAATAAGAACCACTTATCTTCAAAATGGCATAAAATTATCTAGCAGTGAGGCCAAGGATGGGCTTCCTTTTAAAAAGGAACACTGTGTTTTTATCAGCTATATATCATCTGAATAAAATAAAATCTATGCATTTTATCCATTTATTGACATCTCAACTTCTCATATTCTCTCCCTTTGACATAAAAATAAAAAGAGGAATTTACCAAATGAAATCTTTACCCTGTTTAAGGAAATATCAACACAAGTGGAAAACCATCATTTATATATATATAAAATAGATAATCATTATTCCTTACAGTGACTTTAAGAAACAGGTATTAGTTATAACTTATAACTTAGAGAGGAAGAAAACGGGTTTGAGGGTCTAAGCAATTTGCCTAAGATGAACATGAGATGAAGAGCTGAGACTCAAACCCACATTTCTCTGCCTGCAAAGCCTGATTTTGCGTAAGTAAATAGAATGAACCAATCACTATATTTTAAATAAAAAATATAGCTTAATCTCTTTCTCATTCCACTACCTGTCAGCATTTTTGTGAGCATGGACTGAAGACAAATTAAAGACATACCGTGTCAGAGACTGTTAGAAGTAATTTAAGTGACAGGTTGGTCCCAGTGCTTTAGGCAAACAATACAACCTCAACTTGGTCACACTGATGGGCACTTCCATTATATCATGAAGGTTACCCTCTCTTAGGAGCCAAATGATCGTAAACCTTAGTTTCTTAATCAGGAGACGAAAAGCCTTCTTTTGTTATAGCCCCTTATTTTCAGTTAAAGCCTTTTTGTTATTTCCCCTTCCTACTTTCCTTGAACCTGAAAATAACATTTTACTGCGTGGTATCCTCAGTGGGAATCACAGTAAGAAGTTATTGCTGGGAAAACCCACTATAGTTACTTCATCCGCTGGGGGAGGAACAGGTTAGAAGGTTAGAGGGGGACTTCTGACCTGCAGTGTGTATGCTGGTTATCCAGGTAGGAAGCTCTGGATGCCTTGATTCAGAAGACATGTGCTACAGCTGAACTGTGGAGTACCTGAAACTGACAAGTTGCCAGGGACCTTGGAATCCCAACAACCCCCTCCCTCAAAATGGGAAGATAAAGACAGCAAGTACAGGTGTAAACTGGTCCCTAAAGTAATGTGTGGTATTAACACTCCGATAGCACTCATGAAAGCAAGATGAAGAAATGTAAGTCTTTGTGCCGTGGCACTTAGAGAGGGTTAGTTTAATTGCTCTTTAATTGCTCTCTTTGTGTTAATGTTTACTCTCTGATTGTACTAGATGCTTCACAAAATCAGGATCACAGTTACCTATATAGTACAGTGTCAGAGTCTAACAGACTGAGGAAAATCTCTAATTGATTGCACTCTTTCCAATATCTTTATTCATTGTAAGACACAGAAAGGCTTGTGGTTATTAAACTGAAGACTAAAATAAAATATTAGCACCCTACATGGTGCAACGTAGTTACCTCGGGGGCCTGGGAAAACCAAGGGCTCCCCAAGGGCTAAGGTAGTTCTCCCCAGGGAGCAGGGAACTCACTTCCTCCTTGTGATGCCCAGGTTTTAGATCATGTTCTCAAACACATGCAAGTGCCTCTTTTTCTCTTTGAGTTCTGAGCTCCTAAGGTGGCATTCCCAGTTCCAGGCTGGTGGGCGAGTAACAGGAATGGACAGAGGAGAAAGTCAAGGTGGTAAAAATTCTTTGACCACATTTTCTCATTGGAAAATATCATGACAAAGCAGTGTTAGTCCCCAAAATACTGCAGTTATGGAAATATTTAGGGCTTTAGGCCACTCACTCCCTTGAGCCTTTTCAAGTCATGTGCATTAGTATTACAGTTGAGGATTATGTAAAAGGGCAACCTTATCAAATGATAATGGACTGATTTAAAATCTATCTTTGTCTAATTGTAGGCTTCAGCATATTTTTTTTGTTACTAGGGAATTTTTGGAGATATAAATTCTTAATCCAAAGAAACACACTTCATGGTGGAAACTTGAGGCATTAAAGCAGCTTTATAGAGTGATTTTACACATGCATACAGCGACCACTCCACGTTTCTCTACAAAGCCAGAAGAATGTGTTGACTCGAAGATTCTTTACCTGAATTTTCCACCGGCAACTATCTCAAAAACCTGTGAACAGGCTCAGTTGCTGACTGGTCTTTGAAAAAATGGGTTTTGTAGTAGTGCAACAAAGATAGCTCTTTATATTTCAAGAGTGGAGATGCAATGCCTTGCATAGGTCTTTGTCATTGCAATATCTATAATTTTTAAAAACCCAGATACTGGCTACTTAACTTTGAGAAAAGGCTTTAGGCCAGTAACTGGAGAGGTGACCGCTAATGTTTGAGAGCTGAAGTCTGCCCATCTGTGAATGACTGGATGTACGCTATATAAATTTGTAGGTCCTTTGAGAGCCCTTAAAAAGCAACCACAAGAGCCACACATTTAGAAAGACAGAGAAAGAAAGAGCCCTGAACTAAAGCCCATTTGCACTAAGATTTATTATATTACCTTGGCATGTGAATCTGACTCTTGGTTTTTGGTTTATTGATTTTATTTTTTAATTGTACAAAATATTACATAAGCTAAAGAAAAGACTTGCCCCACAATCTGGCTAACCCAACAAGCAAGTCTGCTTTCATGCCTGTCCACTTAATATACAATAAACCATTTTTACACAGCCAACATCTTAGTGTACATAGCTCTGATCTTTTCACCTGTGATTCTATTTTGTGACACAGGAACCCTCATATGTCTTGCTTGCTGTTGTTAGCTCACTGCTTGATGCATATTCTTGATAAATATTTGTTGAACAAATGGTATAAAATTTTTCTGTGTTGGCACAGTATCTGAAATGATAGCTTTTACCTGTCACAAAATATACCAGGATGTAGGGTGTCTTGATTTGTTTATAAAACCTCCCTATTGTTGTGTATCCACATATTCTGATTTTTCAGCATTATAAGTAATGCTACAATAAACATTTTTGCACATATATAGGCTTTTTCCTGCTTTGTGATTATTTTCCTGGGATAAATTCCCAGAATCCTCTTTTTATTATTCTCAATATGAAAAGCCAAACTGCTAATCTACAATGACATGTGAATGAAGTATTTCATAAAATTAAAAATTATGAAGTACAAAGGAGTTTGTTTTTATTTACTGAATAGATAGCAACTCAGACTTCAATATTGTTTAAATTTACAACTTTTCTTAGTAGGTTGAATATTATATGGAGTATGGTTGTTTATTACAGTACTTCTTGTTTACTGCCAACTTTATTTCCAATTTATATAACGATGACTTTAATCTTTATCGTATTTGGTGTAAATGTTTTCCATATTTCACTTTAGTTGTGGTAGTCTTGTTGTATGGTAGTTTTAAATTTTGTATAACCAAATTTCACAGATCTTGAGATCTTGCTCTTTTCCAAATATTTATTAAAGTCTTTACTCTGTATGTTTTTCAAAACCAATGTTTTAACACTTAACTCTTTTAGCCAGCTGGAATTTATTTTAGCATAGGCTGTTACTTAGATACAAACTGTGTTATTTCTTGAAACTGCTAATATGTGATCCCAAATAGTTTATTATATACTCCTTTCTGTGATGATTTTTGCCTCCTTACCATATACAAAGTGGGCTTCATTTTAGGGCACTCCATCTTCTGTCATATTCTGTTCTACTCTATTTTACTTCAGTCATCAATATCTATTTTTACAACAGATTCACATTACTTTAATAACTTTTTCCTTCCATTTTATAGCTAGTCCTTCCACACTGCTCTTCATTTTTCCAAAATATTTTTCTATTTTCTCAACTGTTTATTTTGAAGTGAAGAGAAAAATTTAGTTAGCTGTTAAGGAACTGAACAGTTTCTTTGGGATTATATTACATCAGTACTTTGAAACAACTGCTATTTCTAGTTTTTTTAGGAATATGCTGTACTTGTACATTTATATGAATCTTTAATACCCCAAATTTTGATTTTTCTTTACCATGGTCATATACATATTTTAAGTTTATCTGTAAGTATCTCACATTCTACTGGTAATGCAACCTTTTTTTCATCACATTTTTTGAATGTGATATTGTCAACAAAAGAATGGTTAGTTTTTGAATTCTTAGCTTGAATTCATCATTGAACCAGATTTTTATTAATTCTAGTTAATTAAGAATCTAATTCTGACTACTAAGAAACATCAGCTCATGTTGGCTGGGTGACTTCTGACGACACTTGTACGTTCTGTTTCCATTCTGTGTCTCAAAGTGGGGTCTGGGTAACGTGGCACAGATCTCCAAGAGGAGTGAAAATGCCATCATTATGGGCAATTTGGGGCTGGTAATTTTTTTTTGTCTGTTAAAAAACTGAAAAAGTAAGAGTTACAATCATCCAGGTAGATTAGCACAATCTTGAAATAATGGCTGCTTATTAGGAAAATGAGACTTCCTAAGAGGTTAATGTTAAGAATGAAGTAGTAGATGGTTATCCCCATAACTACTTCATAACTACTTTTGACTTCAACTACTTCATGACTTCATAACTACTATTTTTCTGAAGAAGTATGCTAGGTGAGAAGGTAAGAAACTGATCTTAATGTGCCCAAATACACTGAGAACCCTGGTGAAGGAAATACATAATAAAATTCAATCTATCACACTTGATTATTTCCTGTCTTCTCTCTAAAATGTTTATATTCACAAATGACAGACAACAGCATAAAAGAAATAAGAAAAGCACCATCAAGGCACTTTCCTCTTTGTTACTTTTATGTCAAACCAAAGAGGGAGAGAGTGATGAGTTTTCAAGTACAGCAGTACCTCGTACTCGTCGTTACTTCATTCTGGAACTTGGGACGAGTGCCCAAACCAATGAATACCATATGATGAAGCATCTTCTCTTGTGGGGCAGTGTCATGACTCACACAAGTTCTAGCAAGTGACACAAGTCCCGAGCAAGCACGAAGTGCTGAAACACTTTTATCTCGTCAAAATGTGACGAGTACAGGGTCTGACAAGGTCTGAAGCTGAGGAGTACTGGGGTATGACTGTATCTGGAGAGGGAGATGTCAATCTCTACTCTAGCCACTAATTTAAAATACTGAAAATGCACTTAATTCAGAGGGAATCCTATTCTGGGCAGAGACACAAGGTTAACCATGGACATTACAAGGTAGAATCTGGGGCGAGGCCCTTAACCGGCTGGGAAACTCTGAAGTACCATCAAGTAACTGACGGTGAGTCCCATCTCAGCTAATCTCAGGGAACACGTCCCTGGGGAGAGTGGCCTCACCTTCCGAAGTCTTTTACCACGTGACAAAGGTTATTATTCATTCGTGGAGACTAGAGGTTAAATGTTCTTCCAGAACTGAGGGAGAACTAACAACAATTGCTTACCTTTCAAGACTGAAGTCTGAAAAGCATATGAACATTCACAACACTTGTTAAATGATGTTTTAACTCACTAACAACCATGTTACAGGTCTTGTGAGCATATTAACTTCTTGATATTATGAAACTGATTTCCAGACCCTTAAATGATTTTATTTAGTAAGGCTTTAATTTTTTTCCTTAAGGAATTAGCAGCACATAAATGTGATTTAGTCACAATATATGAATTTGAAGTAAAATATACAAATGTGAAATATCAGAATTTGAATTTTTATTTTTACTTGGGCAGTAGATGATTAAAGCAAAAATTACAATACAAAACAGTTCATGGTTAAAGGAAATCTGTGAAAATAGTACTCAAAATATACCATAAAGAAACAAAAATTTCTACATATTACTTTTAAAGAAAATAGCTTTTCTAGCATACAGCAAAAATATTAAATGGATGTGACTAGCTGAAGACTCTGTGTATGCTTGCAACATTAATTATTTAATAGCCTTCATATCAGTGGAATTCTTGACATTCGCTCATATTATATATAAAATTTACATCTACTGGAGTAAACCTCTATGCATTATTTCTCCTGCAACAAAATAAAAACCTGCTAAAGTAATTGTGGTGATAGAAATGTATTAGCCTCAGAAGCTCCCGAGGTGGTCCATTCTATCCTAGGACAGTGTAAAAAAAATAAAATACAAACCAATGCATACCTTTTCCCAGTGCACAATTTCCCAAGCACCATTTCTTAACACTGGAAAGAAAAAATGTTACATTTTAAAGACTTTTTTTAGTACTTATCAAAAAAAATTTACTTCTGATGAAATGATCATTTAAAATAAACAGTAATAGCTTCAAATAAATGAACCAGTAGTAATTTTTAAAGGCCTAAAATTTTGATCGCAGGGAAATGTAAAACTATGCAAAGAACTGGAAACAACCTACGTGCATTTCAGATCCCACACTAACCAATCCCCAACAGAGGGGATGCCCACTGCGGCCGCTGAGGACTTCCCTCAGCATCTGGAGGAATGAATGAGAATGCTCGGCTGGAGGAGAAAGCCGCAGAAATGACGTGGAAAAGGGCATGACATGCTTAAAAACGTCAGAAGCCATAACAGTACCAACTATTTGTTTTTAAAGTCATAAGCATGTAAGGAATAAAGTTCTAATTGGTTAGTAAACATTTAATACAAACCAACCGACAAAGAACCTGCACCTTTGGGTTTACAACAATGCAAAAGAGCAAAAGTTTCCACATTTGGTTTACTAAGAAGTGAAAGAAAGAAGAGACTACTATTAAATTATGATAGAAGGGTTGATATTTCTTAGTGTTTCATTACTGCTTTGCAAAGTAATGGTACTTAGTGCTTTGTTTTTCTCCCTGCTATGTGTCCGTGGCTTACTAATGAATACACCAACAGACACTAAGAGATAAAACAAACAAACGAAAACAGGAGAGAGAATAATGTGAGACAGATAGCTCAGCACTTAGTACTTAAAAAAAGGAACTTCGAGATCAGTCAACAAATTATCCTGATAGCAAATTCCATGAGGGAAAACTAGTATTTGCTTTAACACTACATTTCTTGGAAACCACACAGGACCAGACATACCGTAGTTACTCAGCAAATATTTCCAGAATGAATAATTTATAGGTACAAAAACATTAGATTCAGTTTCTTTCAAAGAACTGAAGTAAATCATGATAATAATCTTTTCAATTTTAAATAGCAAATCTAACATTAATTACAAGCTAAGTCTCGAAACCAGTATTGCAATATAAATTATTTTAATCTAAATATAATCTTTTTGTGTCCTAAAATTCCCTGGGCACAGGGATTGTCTTATCATTTCTTTATCTCTAGTACCTCATAGCACTCCTGGCACATAAGACACTAAAATGCTTGTTAGACAAATAAATGCAACGATGAGTATCTTATAGCGCATTTTGGTGCATCAACTTCATTAATAAAAATAATAATTCCAAGCTGAAGAGCTAAAATAAAACTATTTCTAGTATAATAATGTAACTAGTGAACAAGTTCAAGTTTCAATTTTTATGGTATTCATGCAATTAGGAGACAAGGATCTGAGCCACAGGCATCTAAAATTGATCACTCTATCCTAATATATAAAACTCCAATGCCTGCAGTTTATCCAAACTGACCCCAGGAATAAGCCTGCTCCTCGACATTGCTCCCAAAGTAGTCAGGTTCAAAGCATAAGATTTATAGTAAAAAAACCCCTGGGTTAGATGCCGCCTGTCATTACCTAGCAATATCTTCCTCAAAATCAGTTGTCACAAAGAATAAAGAATAAGTAAGCTCTTGGCCTTTCAATCACTTACCCCAGTGGCTACAGTGTAATAAATCCTCAACGAACAGAGCTGACAAAGTGCTGTTTATGTCAACCATAACCAAGATTAAGTGGCATGAAAAGATTTGCTAATATTTGCATTAACTTATACTAGAAAAAAAATCCTGTTCAATAGTATCTAGAGAGAGCTTAAACACTTCCTCAATTGCAATATTTAGTTTAGTTTTTTTAAAAAAAAACAAAACCAGTGTTTAATGTTTCTAAAATCAAGAGATGTGACATGAAAATGAAGACTTCAGGCTTTTTGGAAAAGCTCAGAAGGTCAGCCAGTCAATTCCCACACTGCAGCACGTGCCTGGGACAGAGCAATGGCCACGGCTTCCCGTGGGGCTCACCGCCCTATCACTGTGTTCGTGGTTTCCTGCTGCTTCCCTTATGCACTGTCTGCCTGGCTCGAGTCTGTGAGGTTTTCTTCTGTTAATGGAGGTGTAACTTACGATGAAATGTACAGATCATCTTCAGTGTTCTGTTCAATGAGTTTCAAAATGGGCAAAAACCTGTGAATCCACCACTGAGAACAAGACATAGAATTCCAGAAAGCGTTCTCATGCCCCTTTACAATCCATCCCTCCTTCCCCAGGGGCAAACATAAATTAGTCATTGTCGATTAGTCGTGTATTTCATACACACCCAAATCACACCATATGCATGCATTTTGTATTAAGCTTTCAATCAACCTACCTGAGATTTTGTTTGAAAGCTGTTTCCCTCCCGCATTAAACTGACAAGGTAGTAAGGTGGATTGTTGCTGGGACTCTATTGCATTGATCGATGTGCATACCTTCACACCATTACATACCACCCTGACTACTGTAACTTTGTGGTAAGTCTTGAATTGGGGGAGTGTAAGTCTCCTCACTTTGTTTTTTTCAATATTGTTTTGGCTGTTTAAGTTCTTCGCATTCCGTATAAATTTTAGAATCATGTTGTCAATTCTTAAAAAAAAAAACTCCCAGGATTTTGATTTGGGGATCAAGTCTTTTAATTCATGGATGAGCTGCATCTCTGATTCTATTTAAGCCTTCATTAATTTCTCTCGGATATGTTTTTATAGTTTTCACTGTATAGATTGTTCATTAGATTTATTTCTTGATATTTGATATTTTTAGCTTATACTGTAAATGGTATTCTTTATTCCATTTTGGATTGGTTACTGGTAGTATATAGGAATGTTTTAAATTTTTGTACAATGACCTTGTCATTGACATTTTGTTAAATTCACTTATTAGTTAGGGTGGTAGGTATTTCTTTCTTGTTGTTCAATTGTTCTTTTTGTGGCAATACTTTCTAAGCAACTTAATTTCTATGAACAATGCTGCATTATGATTTTGGCAGTTTTATTATGCTCTTACGCCTGTTCACTGTTCATCTCTTTATTTTTAAATTCTTTTGCTATTGTTAAAAAATAAAACCTTTGAAAATTGAGAATAATTTCTACTAACTAAACAATGTCTTGTTGGTTTTATGACCCAGGCATGTCAAATTCTGTCGATTTCCTTTGGTCTTCACCGCCACCCACACCGGCACCCCTATGTTAAGCACCCATCAGCTCCTGCCTGGAGGTTTGCATTAGCCACACCACTAGGTTCCTGCATTCACTGTTCATCTCTTTCAAATTTAGTTTCTACTATGGTGACTACATATAATGATTTTGCATATGGGTAGTCACTATGTATTCTGATGTATCCCTATTTGTCCGTATATGTACACACACACAGCCTTACATACAGACATACATACAACATTAGTTCACCCTCTGCTTAAAACTCTTCATAAACTGACTTCCGTTGGCTCACAAAGTCAGTCCAAATATCCACAAGGCCTTTGATGAAGCAGCTCCTGCCTACTCTCCATTTCTACCTCCTGTTACTCCTCTGCCCTCTCCCCACACCTTCCTGTTTAAAATCCATTGCACATGTTTCAATGACTAAAATATACTTAGATAACTTCTACGTATTTTCCAGATCTCAGCTTTAACATCACTTATCAGGGGACATTTTTTGACATCCACTTCTTTGCCATTAACCCCAAGTGTACATGAACTCCCTGTACTTTTCCCTCAGAGCACGGACTGCAGCTTTAGTACGTGTTTAGTAGAGAGGTTTAATATCAGGGCAGCTTCGTCCCCCAGACTGTGAGATCTGTGACAATGGGAACCTTCTCCACTCTGCTCGCTGCTGTGTCCCCAGGCTTATAGAGGTGCTCAGTAATTACTTGCTGGATGAAAAGCTGGATCCGCTGGTGTTATGTGTTCAGGACTATATGAAACCATAGTAACAGTCACATGGATTTACTAAAGGTACACCTCTGCTCCCTAGTAAATTTCATATTAAAAATGATGTCCTGGCTGGTATCACTCAGTGGATTGAGTGCTGGCCTGTGAACCAAAGGGTCACCGGTTAGATTCCCAGTCAGGGCACATGCCTGGGTTGCAGGCCAGGTCCCCAGTAAGGGGTGCGCGAGAGACAACCACACATTGATGTTAGTCTCCCTCAAAGGAGGGAGACTCCCTCCTTTCCCCTCTATCTAAAAATAAATAAATAAAATCTTTAAAAAAATTAAAATGACATTTACATGGTATTAGAAAGAAAGACAAATAGCACATGATCTCACCTTTAACAGGAACCTAAACAACAAAACAAAGAAACAAGCAAAATATAACCAAAGACACTGAAATAGAGGACAGGCTGACAGTGACCAGAGGGGAGAGGAGAGGGAATTTCAGGGGAGAATGGGAAGGGTTTACAGGAACAAATTTAAAGGACACATGGACAAAAACTAGGGGGAGGGTGGTAATGGGAGGGAAGTGGGGAGGGTTGGGAGGGGGGGCTGGAATGGGAGTAAAAGGGAGAAAACTGTACTTGAACAATGATTAAAATTTTTAAAAAATGGCTTAATAGCATAATACTTTGGCAGCTCGTCAAAACGTTAAGCACGGAGTTATCATACAATCCAGAAATTCCAGTCCAAAGTATCTATCTGAGAGAACTGAAAACATATGTTTACACAAAAACTTGTACAAAATGTTTATTATAGCATTATTCATAAACTGAGTGGAAACAACCTAACTAATGAATGAATAAACAAAATGTGGTATATCTGTACAACGGAATATTACTCAGCCATGAAGATGAACAAAGTGCTGATGGGTGCTATGACGTGAATGAATCTTGAAGTTACACTAAGTGAAAGAAGGCAGATGCAAAAGGCCACACATTGTAGGATTCCATTTATATGAAATGTCCAAAACAGACAAATCCAGAGAGACAGGATGTAGTTCTGTGGACATCAGGGACTCATGGAAGGGGGAGTGGGGATTGATTACTTCCATGTATGGGGTTTCTTTTGGGGTTGATGAAGATATGCTGGAACTAC